AATATCATTACCGACATCTGAGACGTCACCGCCCCCGAGGTGAAGAACTACTTCAACCTTCATTCGGTCTATTTCCGATTCGATGTCATTGCCGACGTCCGGGGCTACACTGAACCCAAGGTGACGAGCGACGTCAACCTCAATTTGCCCAATATCAGGGCCGATGTCATTACCGACATCTGGCGATACGTCAACTCCAGTGATATCACCACCCAGTGAATACTGACGTGCCATTCCACGCACAACAAATTGGCTTCGCCTTTGATGAGCGCGGAATTTAAGCAACAATGTCTTGAATGGCATTCAGTGTGTCAAATTCACGACAAACTTCACTCATTGGGTACTCACGTGCCACCCCACGCTCACCAGATGAGTTCAACCCATGATGACTTGGCTATAGGCCAACGGTGCATTCAGCATTCAGTGGTTCGTTATCACAGCAATTATCACTCGACGTAATCATTGCCGTTTCACTAACAGTCAACGAGCTTGGCTCGTAACTAACGCTTTTGACATCGTCCAACTCAGTGAGTTCAGCCATACCTATGTCCAGCACACTACTTGTCTCGTTCCGTTGCTTGCGCCAATAGCACTTATTTTCCTAGAAGAGGTGGGCTCATGACTCTCCTAAGCTCGACAAGAAAAAGTGCGCGTTGCGTCTACGTTATTTGAGCTCCAATCAATACATGGCTTATGGCGTTCTAGCCAAGCCATACCAAGGATAAGACCATACCTCTCATCCAAGTCTAGGGCTAAACAGTGTTCGATACTTTCAAAGTTCGAAAACTTAACGCCTAAGTTCACATGAACTTTAGCCATAGTGACTAATGCATCTGTCGCCAAGAAAAATGATATTCTCACTCTTCCGCGCTTTCTGCGCCTCAGCATACTGCTGACCCCTTCCAGGGAAAAACGTTGGACATAATTTCCAGGCGCCCCGGAGTCGATCATTATCGATCATGGCTTATCAAACTCACCGTTTCTTTTGCAAATAACAAGCCTGGCTTGTACTCATGCTTCGCGTTATTGCTCACGAATCCACTTGGGGCTATGCCCCGTTCTCCATCACATACAGAGGTACAACAGAGCTTTGAAAATTTCCCCATCAGGGCGGCCCGCGTCTGCTGGGACTCGAAGGTTTTTCTGCGCCTTACCAACTCGTTAATTAGCGACAGGGTGTCGGATCGAATGAGCCTGTCTTGTCCTTCTTAAAGGGCAATCGGGGCGAAGATGTCGGATTTTTTCGCACGTAAACACCTACGGATGTTCGAACGCTGTTCGATAGCTAAAGCTCAGCTCCTTCGTCTCTTTCAGCGAGACTAAGGTCCATGGGCTCTGCGTATCCATAAAAATGAGCAGTGCTCGACGAGTTCTATTGGAACTCATGAATACTATAACGGGCAGCTCTAAAGTTGAACTGGCGTTCAACGCTACGTCCACTGCACTTTCAAATGTCGAGGGTTGGGCACGGAACAATTCTATTCTGGCAACGCCAGCACGAAGACCCTCCATAACAATGGCTATCAAAACCGTCTCAGGTAAAGGGTCAAGCTACATAGCAGCAATGAAAGTTCGCAACTCCTGGAAATAATAGACTAAGTCCTTTTTACCCTGGCTGGTTGACAGGGAGCGTGATCGCACGCGAGATGCCTGATTAGGCGAGACGAACACCCAAGATAGTTGCTGTTTTAGCACGTCTCAGGTGAAATAAGCCTCTTCTATCGAGGTGGCAGAAGTGAAGGTCCACTCTCTGGATCGCCCACCTAACTTCGATAGGGCCAGGCCCACCTTTTGCTGCACTGACCACAGCAGGGTCGAATTGATGGCAACCTCCACCTCTCGAGCCCACAAAAGAAGATTCTCTCCATCTTTCCCCTCAAAAGTCTTGACACTTAAGACCATAGGGTGAGTCCTTGACTCAGTTCCGGTATCGGAATATTCCGAGTGGGCACGGCAGATGCCAAATGGTCATGGGCCTGTCCGATCAACATGGAACCAAAGTTCTAGAAGGCTTCGAGTCGTGCACAAAGTGCGTCCGGGCCTTGCGCCACTAGAAGAGCCACTTTTACATGCCCGATCAATGCCGTGGGCTTGTCAAACGCGATCTGCTGGGCCTCAGAGAGGTTTATGGCCGTTTCCATCCTCGCAGAGGATTTAGTCTCTATGGAATCAGGTGTAGACTGACACCAAGTGCTATCAAGTGTAGCAGAGCTACTTAGCGCTCCTTAATAGAGGAAGTCTTTGACTCAAAAAGTCTCTTGATTATAACAAATTAACAACGACGTACCGTCTTTCAAGCGTACACGCATAACAATCCCAGTTTTACAGGGACTACGATTCACAGAATCACACAATAATTAGTCACTACTATTTAAACAAGAGTAAGCGCCTTTACAAGGCTCATATTCTCAACAACACTACGCCTTTACTAGGCACTCATATCCAACAAATCAAAAGGGGAACTGTACTTTTTTATTCTTTAACTACGGTAATGAAACCCCAAAACCTTGTCTGACTTCTGCAATGCGATCCTATGACTGAAGCATTATTCCTTATCCCTAACCGGTAATGTGCGGTATTACCGTAAGTACCTGGTACCAATACTGTACCACTCAGATCCACCGATCTTTACTTGGTGTGGACGCACAACATAACTAGTTTAATAACCGCCGTGTAACCCTGTTACCGATGGTGTTGACGATAAAACCGAACGACTGTGTGACGTTCGAAGCAAAGAAATTCGTAAGGAGGCGAGCTTTTCAATGACAGTGTTTAGTATAACTCATTCGCTTTATGGACATCAACTTGACAGTCAACGGTGTCGAGATGCCGATGATTTTCTGCCAAAGTGTAAACATTGTATGATAGTACGCTCACACTTACCGAACTGATTAATCTACCCCGTAGCACTTGGTGTAGAAGATGCGTGCTAAATATATCAACTCGTGTGCTATTTCGCGTGTAATCGTGTTAGTCACTCTCATCGATCGCAGGGACGCCATCCACAAGTAATCTCAGCAATCACTTTGCTTTGCGAGCAGCTTCTCAGCACCCAGTGGCTAAAAGATCCCTCGTTAACTTTACCTTTTACTCTGACGTTTGGTAGTACCTAATAAAATGAAATAGTCTTACGCTTGGCTTTAACATGGAGACTCTTGCCTCCGCTGAGTCCACTTTTCGTTTCGTGTTTAGCGACCTTCTCCATCTATGTGATAATAGACGGCCATTTCAAAGAAGAAGAACATCCAACTCTATGATTCCTAGTTTTCTGTACTAGGAAACTACGAATCATAGAGTTGGATGTTCTTCTTCTTTGAAATGGCCAAAATTTGATGATGCTACAATCGGTTTGATGACTCGTATACATGACTCCATAGGCGCACCGCCGAATCGTTCCCGGTCAGTGCCGAACTTAAGTTGATTACAAGTCAATCTTTTGTGTACCCGCCTAAAAAGTGCGAGACGTCCGCAATTGCAGAGTATTGTCGGTCAGTACAGTATGGAAAGAATCGGAGTGCCTACCCCCCCCCCTCCCCGCACATCCAAGAAATCAGGCATGATGGGCACGAAGCAAGACTGAAAAGCTGCCTGTTAACGGAAGTTGCGATCGCTGCAAACCACCATTTCGTGGAACAGTTGGACGATACAGACGGTCACTGAAGCTTTGCCATCCATGACTAGATTTACGGGCTCTGTGATTGCGTCACCAGTGTGTCTTACCCAACACCGTCGTTTACAGCAAGCGTGGTAGATGCTTGGTTGATGGACTATACGAGCAAATGACTGTTTCAAGTCATTGAATTGGGAAGGCATGATTGCAGTCTCGCCGAAATAGAAATCCGAGCTGGCAATTACACTACTTTCGCTCACTGCCGATCATGGTGTATGCATGTTTTGGCGAGACTATACAGGTGGTCATGATCAAATTGATGGGTGTGTCACGAGTGATCCAGACGGAGACATCTGTCTTTAGTGACTAGAAAAAGTCCCGTAATTTTCCTTACTGTAAACGAAGTCAGGTCATAAATCTTTCGTCCGTGCTGCATGGTCAGGACTGCGAGGCACTTTCGATTAGTAAATGAACACAAGAGGAGATCGAGTGCAAGCTCTCGAGTTCGAATGCTACAAAGATTGGCTGCCCATTGAATCGTTGCTCTGCTGATCGGAGGCATACTATCGATATCAACAGGGGTCTATCTGTCTGGGATAATACCAGCTAGAAATTGCTGGGTTTCCGGTGTCGTGATGAGTTTAGCATGAGTATTTGAACGCATGCCTTCGTACACGTTTTCTAGTCAGCTCACATAAGCTGGCCGACAAGCATTGCGACTATGCTTTGGATCCATCAAGGCTGTAGTTCTGATAGCAAATATAATAACGCAAACTAATGACTTTGTTGACATAGCGAGGAAGACCACGTGTTATATTTTTAGTGCTGCAACGTAGAGCATCTCGAGCGCTGACAAGGCGAACACGACCATATTCTGAAAGGCGTTAAGACGCGAGCGTGCTCCTTGGCAAACCGTCACTTCATCGATTTTATCACAACGATGGCTACAGGAGGGTACACATCTCAAACTCAGTAGAGTAATTGCACGCCACACCAGCTTCATGATCACACGACGCGCAGAATCTGGCCCAGATGTTATTTTGGCATATGCGCAATGGACAGAATCCACAGAAGTCAATCGCCCCTACTTTCGCGAAGCAGTCATCGTGACTTTATTCCATCCCTACTTTCTAACACTAGAGATCGATATGTGCATTCGGGAACAATAAGAAATCACTCTCCGTAGTACTTCAAACCGCTCTTTTCTATAGTTGGGTCGGCACTTACGTGGTGGAACGATACGATACAGCGATCGAGCGCGTGCGTAACCATACCGCAACATTTACACTACAAAAAGCGAATGTTCCACTCGGATTTACCACACACTACTTTTGTTTTCTTATCTTGAACTGCGTTTTATAAAAAGCAAACAATAACAGTATTTAAGACCATGCAGCAACCGCGCGAGCTGCGACCCAAGCGCGCGCTTCTCGCTCTACTGCAGCGACTCAACGATTGCGTGAGCGTCTCCGCGCGTCGACTGCTTACGCAGCAGCTTCCATCCTCCACCCTGCTGCAGCTCCCACGGTCTGAGCTCCAGCAGCTCCTCCCCGAGCTCTGTGCCTTTATCCACTCGCTCCTGCCATCATCCAGCACTACTAACAATAATAGTGACAATACAGCGACCATTATTCCACCGCTTCCGATCGTAAGACGCGCTTTTTCGCACCCAGACGCCCAGTGGCTCAGTCGCAGTGCACGACAGAGCGGCATCTCGGCGCTGCTGTGCCAGCAACTCGTGCGTCTCGCCAGACTGGACCAGAAGCGTAACCCGCAGAGCAAGACAGACCGAGACCGTGCCGTTGATTGGTCAATGGAAACGCTTGTGACGCACATTTTCCTGGACGCACTGCTGCTACCTTGTGCTCAGCGACTTGGTCAAGCCCCGGACGCCTGTAAATGGCGGCCGCTGCAGCCCAAGCCACGGTTCCATGCAATGACGTGCTTTCCAGTGTGGTCTTCTCTTCTGCCGTTTGCGGCTCAGATGGGTATTCGATTCCCAAATGAGTTCTTACAGGTACTAGAGGAACACTGGAAGATGGACAAGACACGCACGCGTCGCGTGCATTGTGAGTTTGCGCTCGTGACTGGCACGTGGAGACTCGTGGATGAATTGGATCGAGGAGACAAGGAGAAGCAGCTTGCCGTGACAGCAGTGATGGTGAAAGTGTTGAGGGTGGTCAGTGACAAGCTACTTGCTTGCACGAAAAATGGAAAAGCAGGAAACGAACTGCTTGGCTTGCACCTTGACGACCAGCTCTTGGAAAAGTTTTTTGCTGGCATGTCAGCGTTTTTGTGTAAAAGTGGACGAGCAGATGCTGTGCTCAGACAGGTGCTTTTTGGTACAATACAGGAGGTGCTGGTCTCAGGAGCAACAAGTGGTGTTGCGTCACAACACGTTGTCATTTTCACGACTGCAGGATGCATGCTTGTAAAGGATCTTGCAGCAGGTGTGATCTCGATGGTCGTGAAGCATAGCAACGGTATGAAAAGTCATCATGATACAGCTTGGCCCTTGGCATTTCTTGTGGGGTTCAGTGCTCACGTGGATTTGGTGCCTCTACGATCAGTGCTGGAGGTTCTGGAACTGCTAGTGATGTCGTACAAAGCTGTGAATCAAACTACCCACGACATTGTAAAACAGCGGCAGCGACGTCTCGAGCTGGTATTTTATATCACGTATGTGACGTTGCACCGTTGCAAAAGTGTCGATTTGTTACGCGAAGACGTCAGTTCCGATGCAGCTGCAGTACTGGAACTCGTGACGGAGTTTCAAATGCAGCTGTGCAGTGAATTATCGTACGAGGATTTTTACAATGCAGCTCCAGTGCACTGGACGGCTCAGGTTTGGAAGCATTGGGTCTTTCTGTCCGACGAAGACGTTCAGACGTTTGTGTCCGAAGCTCACAAAAACGATGTGGATTCTGAAGTAGATGTTAAGAAGCGAGTAGCGACGTGGTGTACGTGGGAGGCACAAGTTGCTGTTCGGCCGTCCTTGTTCTTCCATTTTCCACTAATGAAAGTGCTAGTGAACCCGCACTTGATCTCGTCTGCGCCACTTATTGAACCGGATGACGATGATGCGTTCATTGTGAAAGCACGAAAACGTCGGCGAATTGAAAATGTGCATGAATCTACTGTGGATCTTGACCTGGTGGAGCGTAGTTTCGATGTGCTGCTTCAGCCTGATGCACTAGAACGCGTATGTTCCTTTATGAGTGCAAAACGGCTTTGCCGCATGGCTCTCGTGTGCCGTACTTTTGCAGAGGTTAGCCACCGTGGATCTCTATGGCGCCCACTGTACTTGCAACTCGGTTGCTCCACTCACGACAGACCTCGTGTTCTACCTGCTCTGCCTGTCCAGTGCCGTCACGGTGACCGGTACGAGCACAAGTGGCGTCAAATGTACCAGGACCGCTGGAAAGTACTGCGAAAACTACGTCGCGTGCAGCGTCGCGTAATTACAGCAAACCACATCAGCGAAGACCGAACAAACGGCAATGAGGCGCGGCTCCATAGCAGCAGCTCTACATTCCTGCCGCTGATCTGCTCGTGTTGTGGCTGCAACCAGGTGCTCAAGTCGGCGCGTGATCACGACGTCCATATGACCCAACACAAGCGCTTTACGTGCTTGGAACCTTCGTGCCAAGCGTCGTTTACGAACCTGCACAAGCTCCAACAGCACGTGAAAACGGATCATGCAAGTCAAGGTGCATCAGCTCGTCGCCTCGTCTGTAACTACAACGGTTGCACGAAAAACTACTTGTCCGTGAAGCGACTTGCGACGCACTGCAAGAAAACCGGCCACTTGACATTGAGCATATCTACTATGACGACATGCTCAAGGAAGTCATAAAGACGAAGTTGTCGACCAGTGGTTCTGGACGTTGAAGCTGGCTTCTACACACACCTTGATGAGTGATTGGCACCATCGCGTCTGTCCGTACAATATGCCATACGACAGGTCTACGTGGACCACATGAACCACCACCGCCGGCTCACGTTCCCTCAGTACCATCCCGCTCTCTACTGCGCAGTCACTTTTGATCGCTCTCATGGCGCACACGATGGACAGCGACAGTGGTCCACTGCCGACGCTAGCGGCTCTCGCGCTCGCAGCGCAAGACGCTACTAACGACAAGACAGCTGCTCTCGTTGCTACGTGCTCGTTCATGTTGTCGCTGGCGCTCGGGTTGCGCCTGCTGGGTCTCTACTTGGCGCAGACGCGACGACGACGCAAGCGGTTGCAACTCTGTCCCGGTCTTTTGTCTGGCCTCTCCTTGCCGTTCCCAGTCGCACTGTATGCGCTCGACGTGGGCGTTTTTGTGGTGCTGTGGTACGCAGTGAGCATTGGCATGACGCTCTTTAACAAGTGGTTCTTGCGGGTCTGGGCCGGTGGTGGATACCCTTTTGCCACGACCATGACGTGCATCAATATGTTCATCAAGTGTCTATTATCGCGACTCGTTGACCGCTGCTACAGTGGCGGTTACCCGAGGACTGGACTGGCTCTACCGTCGAGTGTGTACTGGAAATTGGCAGTGCCTATTGGTGTCTGCACAGCCATTGACATTTTACTGTCAAACCAGTCGCTGTTTTACATCACTGTGACCTTTTACACGGTTGTGAAATCAGGAGGCAATGTCTGGAACCTGCTCTTTTCGATCTGTCTCGGTCACCAACGTCCATCTTGGTCGCTCTTTGGCGTGATTGTGCTGATTTCAAGCGGCATTGGACTTGCAAGCTACGGTTCAGCACACTTTGTGCTCTATGGCTTTCTGTTGGTGTTGGCTGCGTCGGTGATCGGAACGTTGCGGTGGGTCTTGACCCAATCGTTGCTGCAGGCGATGGAGGACAGCACTATTGGATCGTCTAGGAATAAGGTGCTCGCGGTAGTGTACTACGTGTCACCCGCGAGTGCAATTTGTCTGCTTCCAATTGCTCTATTTACAGAGGGAAGCGACTACACAACGTCGCGCTTTCTGCTGGACTCACAGCTGCTTGGAATGTCGTTGATTTTTATTTTCATCAGCGGCTGTCTAGCGTTTGTGCTGATTTTCATCGAAATTTTGCTGGTCAAGAAAACGTCGGCGCTGTCGTTAGGTATCGCTGGCAGTTTTAAAGACGTCACGCAAGTGCTGCTCGCTGTCTTTATTTTTGGCGACCAGCTCATTCCAGTCAATGTGTTTGGTCTTGTCGTCGCTACGTGCGGCATGCTTTTCTACACGTTTATCAAACACAGTACAGCGGGAGCCGCAGGCGACGCAAGAAACGACAAATCGAAGGGATATCACCGCGTATCAACTTCCCATTTGGACTTGGAGGTAACCAGCGAGATCCCGTCTTTTGACAGTAATATCAATCACATTCCAGAAGTTCACATGAGGGACGGGCGTGGTGGCTTGGCATGCGGAAACAAGTCGCTGAATGCTTTGTCTGGCGTAGAGCTTGTGCGGCGAGAGGGAAAAGAGTGCTTTGACTCGCCAGGTGTGGTTGCCCACGCCTCTCGTGCGTGAATGAACTGAACAACAAAGGTTGTAACATAGCACCATTTCGCTGAGTTGGCTCTTGAATGAAATCGATCATAAGAATCGACATTTTGACGCACACATAGCGGAATGCTAGCACGTATTCGAGACCGGTATTGCCATTTCAGTCTCGTGCCTCAGTATGCGGAATGTACTCGCGCAAACGCCCATCGCGACAGGCGGTAAAAACACGACCGGTCTGACCTGCAAGTGCAACACCACGCACAGCATCGTACTGAGGGCCAGTTAGCTCCGTGTAAATGTGTGGCGTCCCTTGGAAGTTGCTCCAGTTGCAGCATCCGCCATCCCCCTGGGCAGTCCAAATTGAAACCCCGTCGTTCGATGACGAGGCGGAGACTACAATGCTATGAATGGGCGATGAGCTTCTCGACAAGGCGTGCAACGGTACGCTTTACGATGACAGTCAGTTAGCGTTACACATGACAACATGATGCTTTCCTGTGAAAGCACAATGGCAATACCTGGTATGGCGTAGATCCCATACAGTGAACAGTCCGTCCTCACTGCCAGTGAAAAGCATCGGGGGAGACATAGTTGCAGTCGCTGTAGCGCACGAGATAATAGAGCCAGCAAGGCCATCAATGTTGAGCACCTAACCAAAAAACACAACAACCACGAGTCAGTCTTTACACACCGCCCTCACTTTCGATGATAGCACCTACTCCTGCACGTGTGCGGACATCTACACCCAGCGTCTCTCCGTTATCAAGCCCAGCAAAGAGCACTTTCTCGTCCGTTTCAGCCTCGTTCTCGCTGTTACAAGGCGAAGAAAGTGAGCTTCCGTCAAAAGGTGCGCCGTGTCATCCAGGACTGCCAAACAGTGTACAGGACTCTGATCGTCGTTGGCCCACTTTGCAACAACGTCTTGGGTTCCACAATTCCAAAGCTGAATGAGTCCGTCAGTTCCGCACGCTACACACGCCACACACCAATCTCGTCAAGCCCCAGCACCCAACGTCGTCAATACCTCCGATTCTTACACAGCACATTTCTTCCTCGTCCAACAATCGCCACGTCCTCGATGCCTCCTTGATGTCCCTTCATCACCGCTGCACAGCGTCCATCAATGCTCCAGATTCTCAGCGTAAAGTCAAGCGACCCCGTGAGCACCACTTTCGAGCTCGGATAGAACCGAACGCTCGTGACGTCCGCTACATGGCCTTGCAACGGCAGCATCTGCGTCCTGTGGAGTCTATCCCAGAGCATACAGCCACCGTCTGAGCCTCCAAGTACCACGAATCTCTCGTCTGGTGACACGTCCACTGCGTGTAACTGCAAAAGTCCGGATGGTTTCCGATCTTCAAGAGCTTTTAAGTTACCATCCACCTTCGGCACTTCCACTGTCTCTTCAGGGACTTGAAACAACGTATACAGCTGCTGCATCGATGCTTCACTCGTCTCCAACTCCACTGGACCGACCTTGATCCAGGAATCTCCTTTATCCAGCATCTGCACCAACTTTGGCGCGTTAACGGCCTGGGAAGAAGGCGATAGAGCCAATTGATACTGCGAGCTTGGACAAGAGTGTACCTTGACGGTTAAGCACTCGTCTTCGTGACCGCCTGTTTGCGCTTTAGCGGTTGATAGTTTGACTGTGCGATTGTAGACGTCGATCCAACAGGAATCACCAGCAATGTCCCAGTCTGGCTGGATCTGCAGGTACATCTGCGCATTTAGTGACGACGTCTCGATGCCGGTCTCTTTCTTCATTTTATTGCGGGAGAGCGCTCTTTAATAACGCGCTCTATTCGAATACGATGCGAAGATAAAACCACCATATGCACGATAGTGATGGTAGTTAATTTTAGTGCAGATTTGAGTGTCTTTTTGTCTTTTTACAATGTCGAGCTCCTATTTCCATCGTTTGTTACAAACTAGACCGCAAATACGGGCAAGAAAACCAGATATTTCGTTTACAGGACGACATCAGCAACCTGGCAAACGAACTAGTATTCGCTCAGCTTGAAGGGCCTAAACGAGATACTTTTCAATACATGCGTAAACGTGGACACTGTGCTGCAACTTGCGCCAGCACCAGCTTCTCGATTGACAACATGTCGCTTGGTCGACATGTCATGGCTGGATCTGGTGCAACAGTAGCGCGACTGGTAACAAACTTGAGTCATGTATGAGGACAACATCGAAGTGTTGCAAGTAGATGTCTAGTTTTTCTTCAGCACCGTCATTCAAGAAACCGATGCGCACGATTTCGTTCTCGTTAAAATCCAGTCCGTTGGCCATATTGCAGTCGCCTAGTGAATCGCCCAACAGCAAAATGTTACGGCGTTTCTCCAACTGACACTGTTTCCAGAACTCGGTCTCTACTAGCGCACTCGCAGTCTTGTTTAGATTGTGAATAAGCTACAACCAGAACAATTGGGAATCAGCTGTCAGTCATCCACAAGTTTTTTGCAAAAATGAAGTGACTAGTCGCACCGTTCCATCAAAGCCAACAATCGTGCCATCTTCATCAAACATCATCATATTCGATACAACGTGCACATTTTCTGGGAGGGTCTTCACCGGAGTCTTAGCATACTCGTTGGCCAGAACAGCGTGGATCACGTCGTAAAGACCCGCAGAAAAGATAAGTGTAGGCACATTCTCTCGTGCCAACACGTCGAACATTTCCATAAAACCTTCGCGAAGCACGATGTCGCTCTTCTCTACGGCTCGGAATACAGCCTCCTTTGACACGCGGTGCTCGATCAGAAGCTCGTGCGATTTTGTCCACCATTCGATCATGAATGGCAGTTTTTCTTCTTGCGTCAGTGTCGCAGACTGTTCGATAGGGTAATACTTCTCGAAAATACCACGCGCAACAGTCTTTGCTAGCGGACCCAATGCCTCGCTCTGCATTAAAAGTCCGTGTGTACTGGCGGCTTGATCATCTAAAAAGGTGCAGAAACAAATAGCAATGAACAACACTCGCTAACGCGACTTAAATAACAAGGAAGCATGACTTGATGTTCGCATTACCCGTCGGTTTGTATGCAGGAGTGAGGGTGTAATCAAAATCTGCAATGACCACAAGTTTGTCCAGTCCGTCCATGGAGAACTTCTTCCACTTTCTAGAAAAATCGTCTTCAAAAACACATCACATCATCATGGAATTTGCATGATCGCGACATCATTAGACCGAAGTTCACGAGAATATAAATTACTTCGCACCTGGATCTCGCACGAACATCGTGGGTTTTCCAGGCGGCCGACGATGGCTACCTCCTGATTCCGCGCAGTGGACAGAAAAGCTATCGGAATAACGCAACGCAGAAGCTGTGGCCACAACGGCCAAGCCCGCCGAACCGCATCGGGCGAGCGGAGAGCCGTGGGCAAAGATGTGACGGGGGAACGGCATCCGGATGAATGATGCAGGATCGGTCCGACATTTTTGACAAGCAAAGTACCGGACTTTACTGAATAGAAGCCCTGTTTCTATCTGAACTCGATTAAATTTGGAAGCCGGTCGAAGGATGCAAACCCTCCACGAATTAAAAAACCGGTGTTGTTGTATGACAAATGTTCAGGAGTATGCCTAAATGTCGGACCCGCGATTCTAGTTATTCTTGGCGGACAATTTAGCAAGGTGTTGTCATCGCGGACACTCCTTTGCTAACAATGCCTCAGCTGCTTGTGGTAAACGAGACTGTGTGATAGATGCGTGGTTGCACTAGTTTTGAAAGGTGCTTCGTAGGATTTCGCGCAGGATAGAGCAGAACTCGCTTCCCGATCGATAAGCCACTGACGAAACCCCCGACAAGGAGTCTAAACGTGTCTGGTTCGCGTTTTAATGGTCACTTCAGCTCTGGTCTTGGCGATCCACTTAGTGGGCACCGTTGACCGTTCGCTGATACGGAGGTCTCCAAGGGACCATTTTGTACGCGATCTTGAAGATCTACTAGCACCCACAGCATACCTAGCCTTGACTGTAACGGGGTGAGCCTACTACGTGTAATTCATGTTGATACTTATTAGTTAGAATATTATCCTAAAGGTTGATAATGTTCGTGAATATTACTGGTAATTTTCAAAAAAACTCTGACTGATTGGCTGATATGGGCCATCATATCAGCCAGCTCTAGCGGTCCGATCAACGATGGACGCGCGCAATGAGTATGAGCAAGTCTTTAGCATACACTTTTGTGGGTAAGTAAAATCAAGTGAGGAATAAACGTAGGTACATGCATTTAGGACTTGATTCTATTTAATGCAGTTTTCCTTTCTACTCCGATTGAACGCGTCGTTCGTTAACCAGTTTTCCTCTGTACGTACGGTGTAGGTAAAGTGAACGATGTCACTACCTACACTGTTGCCAGTGTAGGTGCACTAGGACTGGAGAAGTGCAAGTGACCAGAGCCCCGTTACACAAACGATGCACGAATATATTGCAGTGCATCAAACAAGTCTTTCAAGCGAGGCGAGCAGCTGGTGAGAAGGTAAAGACTGGGTACTGTTGTATCAGATTCTCTTCCCGCCCACCTCATTCGTCCAAGAGCGCCAAGCCACCGCTCTTACTAGGTTATGCAGTGGAATTGATTGGAACGAGAACCCTTGGAACCTATAAACCATTGGTTCTCCTCTCAAGCGTATAAATTTTCCATAATTTTACCATGTACAATATAAGACCTCTACATTTGACGCACAGGACCTGGAAAATTGTAATCACGATTCATTCCCTTGACTCTATATTACCTAGACTTTTGCAATACAAACCCCTGAGATGGGCAACCACTTTTTGCTCGCTTTCGCAGGGATAATTATCGAGGTAGAGCTGACAGAGCCTAAACTGACCTTGAAGCACTCAACTCCACTCCGGCGGTCTACCAGTGCGCGCGTGTTTGTTCCCCTTCCGATATAGGAACATTCATGTACCAAGCAGCGCCTTCAGTCTAGCTGTTGCTAGGCGACGACGGTCTCCACTGAATTTTGCAGGGCGGCATGTCGGCCCTAGTGTTTTCAACTGAAAGCAAGTGCACTTTTTGGCGCCACCAGGTCTCTCGTGGGTTGGTATTTCCTGCTCAACCGAGACTGTAACGCTTCAATTGGAGTGTGTCGAAGACAGTGGACGATGTCCATGCGTGTAAAATGCTTCTATGGCAGACGTTCAATAACTATAAACGGATGCTGAAACCAGCACTGCAGACTTGATCGACCAGCTTTGATATACAGATGAAAATGGATCAATGGCGTGCGGCAGCAGCGCCTCAACACCCTATACAGGTCTGGCAATATTCGAATGATCTCACTTAGTACCAAGGGTGGACCTGTTATCGGATCGCGACGAACCAGCTATAATTTATCATTCCGGTCGATCCGTAGACTAAAGGTGAAGCAAAATCGAGTACTACAAGGGGTTCAAGACACGACGAACCATAATTATTGGGAGTGGCCAACTGCGAGAGTATATTGGAATCATCTAATTCACCATTGGACTGGACAGAATTCGATAGATGCGGTTTGGAAAGTCATTTCCATCCCTGCGCACATCAAAAGGCTCCACAACGGCTACGACAACGCCCGCCAGATCGATTTTCAGGCAGTGCACACCGCTTCGGATGATTAATTTGGACGCATGTGGTTTGTCTTATGTTCCGTTTGCCAAGTGCATCTCTGGGTGGAGCGGAACGCGGTGCTCTTTAAAAGTGAGACGTCTTCTGCGGCTAGGAGTGCGTCATTATTTTGGGAAACTGGTCTGCGGCAGCCGAAGGCAATCTTTCTGCACGAGCACCGATCCGCAGAAACAGTCTTCCGCGGTGCTCTTCTCCTCGCCTGTCTCGGGTAACTCAGTCGACAGCCACAAGCACAATTGGCCTCATCTCCTGCAAGTCACAACAAGCTACCCTATCCGGCACTTGTATCCTGTCTCAGGATCTTCCAGAGTTTTTGCTCACGTTTATATAGATAGTTTAGAACTCTGATAGCACGTCATTGAAAATATTTTACTTACGGCGACGTGCCGGACGTGTTTGTTTCGGCCCACAGCCGCGGGTGTCATCAGTGGTTTACCGATCACAAAGTGAGATCTCCTAGTGCATCGACCTCTGCCGCTGCCACGCCTTTCCCTATACATCGAATGGAAATAACGCTGTTTAATTAAGGATGACCCCCACCTTTTGTGTAGAGATCCACCTATGAATTGGTAGTGGAAACAAGTACACTTTACCGTTCATAGACTGGGGAATGCAAAAGTTAGCTTTGGTGTGGTATAGCTAATAATAATAAAATCTAACGTCTCGTTTTGGTCGCGGAGAAAGGTAACTACGTCTAGTATTAGGAAGAGCAGTTAGGAAAGTTCGACGGGTTAGTTACACTTTATGACTACCTCTTATACGGACAAAACTATCAATAAAAAGCAGACTTCACCGGTGTACAACTAGTACCCTTTCAAATAAGGAGTACCACTTTCCAACAAAAAGATGATCATCAACCTCTACAAAAAAAGAGTCATTTTCCATGTTCATTTACTTCTTATACGACGGAAGATCGTCATGTCCAGTGTTTCGACACACTAGGCGCGAGTCACCACACTCGTGTACGTAATGACCTGGCTTCTGACAGAGATTGCACTTTTGTAATCGCTTGTAATAGTGAAAGCAAGACCTCTCTTTATCAAAATTAATGAGGTCCAGTGTAGCGGAGCTACGCTTACTCCTATGTTGGAGGAATACTCATAGGCTCGTAGAGTCTCTTGGTATATTACACTTTACTGGTATCAACTTAAAGCTCCCAAGTATCCAGACTTATTGCGACTTAACTTTAACGCATGTCAACAAGCTCGAAAGGTACCAGTCCCAGTCAGAAAACTGACTGATGGCCTCAAGGAAATAGGCTGAACTAATGCCAAAGCGTACTAGCCTAAATACTGGCACTTGATGATTTACTATCAAAGACGTCGAAACAAGACACGCGTTTTAACCTGATCAAAAGGGGAACTTATTCTATTTGCTGATGTATCGGATAATGGACCTCACTTACGTATTTAACCTTGGAACTATGCTACCTAATCAGGAAGTCCTTATTTAGGTTCTTTTGGTGTCGCCACACCAGAACTACATCGTACTTTGAAGACCCCATTACGATTAACGTCATGTAGCCGCAATCAGTAAGGTACTGTTTCACCTCTAGCGTATTTACTTCAACAACACTCCTATCAGAGACTATGATCTTTTTATGTGTGCATCACACCAGTGCAACTGGTTATGACAAATGTTTGTGTAACCCCGTTACACCCACGAACTCTGGGCTTCCTGTTTTCTGTATTCTGGTAGGACGGAAAGACGCCGAGATAACTTAAATCCGTCAGAAGCTAAAGATCTCGTGTTTCGCGCCAGAGGTAGCTTAGTCAAAATTATCTTATTCCTGACGGAACGGGTGGGTCCTAACGGCACCATCCGTGAGCAACCTGGTAAACAAAAAAACCTAAGTTTTTTCATAACTTAGCTTCGATGCAACACATCTTACAAGATAGCATGTGTGCTAAGCGTGAGGGCATGTATCACGCCTATCATCTTCAACTTCAGGAGCCCCATCTTAGCCCTTAATTTCGCACGCGTTGATGTAAGCGTCTGTCTACCCGCCCCTTAACATGCCTTGCACCCACGCATGTATAGGTCGTGTTTAACGGAATAGCATCATCATACGAGGCACATACGAGGCATATCGTGTAATGAAAGGAAAGGTCATGGAAAGTTTACAAGTGCTCGCCGAACCTAGATTGTATTTGGTTGAGGTGTAACAATTGCGTACCTACCACAGAGTGTTCGCGCCATACACAACGATGGCGCTTATGACTTGCCCAAGTCAGATGACGTCATTAGAAGTCGTCGTGGCGCTCATGATAATTTTATGCGAGCTTTAGCGACCGCGTCTTGCGCGCATCACTTCTTTATTATTTAACCAATGGTCAAACAGATTTCAGTTTGCTTCATTAGATAAATATCAGTTTACGTTTTTAACATTACGCAAGAGAATCCAGAAAATTGATTGTGCGACTCACTATAACGAGTGTTATACCTAACAAATCGGGCAGCTTTCGGCATCTCACTTAGCGAACCCAATCCTCAATATTCGTAAGAGAAGACAGAAATTGCTTCCGCGTATTGCAAAAATTGTGTGGAAAGGTAAAGTGTGGCAGCTTTAGCGCCCGCCCAAAGTTGGAATGTTTCATCAAGCTGCGTCATAGCGTTCGAAACAATGTATCGACCGGAAGACTCACTTAGCTCCAGCTGGCAACTCAGAGTTTTCATAATATAAGCTTTGATGATCATTCATGCGCATTGGCCTGGCAATAGCATCATTCGCTTGCTTTTACAATAGCTCAGCCTGTGGAGGACCTTAGGGGTGGAGCTAGATCGCCTTATCTTCTGTCATGCCAAGTTCAAACTGCATAAAATACGTAATTGCAGCATGCTGTTGGTTCCTGCTTCATGGCAAAAATGCATGGAGCTAAATTCCAGACCACGGATGATCCTGCTCATTCATTCGACTCCACCCCATTCGACATTGCTCAAGTGGACAAGCCTTCACGCATGGCGTAAAAGCTGTCCTCATCTACCACATCCATGGATGATGATTCAGTGATCGTTGGACGGACGAACAGGTTCAACCAGGTGTTAGGGGGCATATCGCTTATACTGACAACAATGTAATCTTACCTGCACTAGCCACAATATGGTTACGATATCTTAAGTAGACAAAATTGCAGCGGAAGCGCAAAATATGCGGGCGCGCTGATCAAGTGAAAAGATAGCTGAATCCAATACATTTCTCCTTAATCATTATAAACATTCGCTCACCAACCCTTTGCGCAACGCTGTCGCGACATTGCCTTATTATCTGATATCCTGGCCTGTATCAACTATGAGCAGAGTACTACCAACTGGTCGTGAAAAAAAATCTCCTCCAAGACAACATTCTGAGAACCTAATCATTTAGAGCATCTCCACAGAGTTACTTCATCTATGGTTGCATCTCTATTTGAAGTGATTCGAAGTATATGCACACCATCGCACCACTTCATTATATCTCTATTTTTAGAGAACACTCCATATCTTGGGCCCTTCGCGCCAAATTCGGAGTGACTCCGAACCTGTCTCCAGAACCTACACGTACTCAATTGCCACCGAAATCACACCTACTTCTCGCAAGCACTCCCCTTTTGAACTCTGGACGCCTGAATCCGTGACAATTATGGGTTCTTCCTGAAAACTCATTACAATGCATTTTCTACGGGCGGCTACCGTGGCAAGGATTAATGCAGCATTGCCAGTTTTATAGTGGTGCACCCCGGTGTGGAATTGTATGGGATGAGTCCTTTCATCACGTAGCCGACTCGCAGTAGCACTCCAATTTTAAGATATTTGCGAGCCTGAAGGGTGAATCTATTAGTGAGTGTGCGCAAGGTTGAATGCCGAACTTTCAAATCGAACTTATCTGTGTGTGTCTGTGTGTCTTTAAATAACGCGATTAGGTAGCTTACACATATTAAGTGTGATCTAGCTTGTCCCCACTACAAATATATATTGGCATATTCGAAGTCACTCTTTGACTAGGTCACTATTGTGATGCACGCTTGTGCTTGGCTTAAAATCGATGAAAGGTGAGTATGATCACTCTAGCAAATGCTGGACGCTTATGAGCGAATGCCGATCGCGTTGCCCTAACCTACTTGCTGTACTGGGTAAATACAGACACAAATAGCATCATACACATTCTTCAGTGACTCCTGTTGTATAGTCTTTTTCAACTTAATTCAGTTCTCCGAACTGGATTACTTGTACCAAAGGGCGAGCTCCAGAGCTTGCTCTCCTATCTTACATATGCAAACAAGTATTGTAATTCTCACGTAACGGGTTCACTTTGTTACGTACGCGACCGGAAAGGTCCAAGCAGAAGAAAGCAATAGATACATACCTGGCACGTCAAACTACCTTTTTCTACTCCCATGAAAAACATCAAAACATGCTTTGTGACGAAAAAAAGCACCAAACGAAACACTTTTAACTCGAAACACACCGAGATTAAAACTTTACAAACTGTGTATCGTACACAACGTTCACGCAACTCGTACGTCACTTAATAAATGCTTGACACGTCCGTCGACCTAACCGAGACCTTGGAACGACTCGCGCACATCGAGCGGCAGCTGAGCGAACACTCCGCCACTATCGACAAAAAGGGCACCTGCAAGACCGTTACCTTGTCCTCTATCAATTCCCAGGAGTCTCTCCTCTCTCCTGATACCTCCCGCGAGCTCTGGACGCTCGTGCTCGACGTCGTGTTTACCCCCTTATGGCTGCGCATCCGCGCTGCTGACTTGCTTCTTGTATGCTGTGACACCGGCTGGAAAAGTGATGAACCTGTGAAAATTAATACTGAAGAGACGCGTAAATTACGCGCAGTCGTGAGCTCGACGTGCCAGGCGATGGAAGAATTACGAGCCACAGACGCCACACAGGCGACGCAGCTGTTCACGTGGCTTGGCTTTGTCGAGCGAGTGCTGCTGGTTACAGAGAGTGTCGTGTGGGCTCGTGTGTTGCAGCACAGCATGTATGCAGGAATGCTTACGAAGATGCTGAGACTTTTGTCGGTCTGTTCGACTCGAGTGTTTGCAGCGACGACCGTGTGTCTGGGCCTCTTCCGTTCCCACGAGAAGAAGTGCGGACGCTCAGTCTTGGTGGAAAATGTACTGAGAGATATGAAGGATGGCAGGGAGCATCTGAGTGGAGCACTGCTGCACGTCATTAACTCGTGCGGGTGTCCGTGTCCGGTTGAAAAGACGGTTCACCTCTGCAACGCACTGCAGGTGGGGGATTGCGTGGAGTTTGGAGGTAGGGTGCATGTATGTGTGTCCCGATACTAATTTGGTCACTCTGTTGTTCTTGTTGTGGTTGTTGCTTTGCAGTTATTCGGGGATATCCTGGCTGATGACACAGCATCTGTGGTGGTGTATTTGAATGATTTCAAAGTGCTCATCGATCTTGTAATTCGGGAGTGTACGGATCTTCCACAGGATGATCGTACGCGTCTGGACTACCTGCTGTTGTTGGAACGCGTGTTAGACTCGCCATTGTACCTGCAAGCACAAATGTATCGCAAACGAGAATTGTTGAAAGTGTTGGAGTCGCTGCTGGACGCAGGAGCTGAAGAAGACTCGGTCTTGCCAAAAGATGTTATGGATGCTATAAAGCGGATCATTTTCCAGTACATCGACTTTCTCGACTGAAGAGTGGTGTACAAGGCAGGCGGGGTTCAGGCAAACCAAAACTTTGAACGTACCAGTAATTGTTGCACCGGCCATCATCCGTGAGGCAGCATTGCTTACGATTCGGGCAGCGAAGTGTGCGTCGTAGTTGCGCATAACTGGTGTCGCTAAATGGACTCGTTTTTCATTACACGAGACATAAAGCCGGAGTTTGCGCCCCAACCAGCCGGGTTCTTTTTGTATCTAGCTCACGCTTGACAATCTAAAAGCGAAGAAGACCTCGAGCGTTTGCGTGACAAAGAGCAGCGAAAACTCTGACAAAACTATTGCAACTTCTGGATGGGCACTGTCTTTATCGGATACCACTTAGTACACACGGACCAAGATCATGAAGTAATTGATCAGCTGCAGATTACAGTTGCAACACCATCGATGATGAGACGATGTTACGAGCGCACGACCAACGTTGACTCCCGACGTCTTCGTGGAGTCGAGCATCTGATGAACGTAACTGGCGGTGTTACGGGCACCCTGTGATCCCTTTTGCTTGCTTTCATACGCACTTGAAGTTGCATCAAGCATGCAAGGACTGAAAAGATACAAGCAGTTGCCACTGAAGTTTGTGCATCGACATTCTTCTTGCATCTGTGCCGGGCACGGATATCCCCGGAATGTCGCAGTGCTACAATTGGACAGCATCCAGCGTGGACGCGACGCCGGGATCAATTGGTCTATCGCGTGTTTAGTTTTCGACGGACGACTATGTATGACTCGGTAGAGCACGTTCGACACGTGCATTTCCGAGCCGATTGGATTCTTTTGGTCATTGTTCGCACTTGGAACATGCCGCGACTTGTAAAAGCGATGAAAAATCACAACGAGCAAATGGCGCAACTCGTAGCACAATCTTCATCATGACTCGATGGCACAGTCCAATTACTCGTTGGAATCGTCGTCGTCCACTTCCACTCGAACAACGAAGGAATGACAGCACAATTAGGCTCATTGATTTTCTTAGCACGGGACATTACAAAAGCAGTCACAAAAATCAGTCGAGCAATCGACCACCTCCGCGCACTCATCCGTACGTAAAAAAGCACTTGTTTTGAAACTCCCACACCGTCAAGCTTCCAGAATCGTTCTTTCTCCTCTTTCGTGGTCCACTCTAATTTCGTCAACAACCCTCGTTTCAACCCGTGGGGCTCCCTCAGCAGCTCCTTAAATAATACTAAACACGTAATTGACACCGTCCAAAGAGAGAGAGAGAGAGAGAAGATGGTGCTGCTCCACGGACGTCAAGCTGCGCTCGTGGGCGGCCGCCGCCTCCTCCTCCAGCAGCAGCAGCCGCATCGTCATCCGCTTCCTCTTCATCTGGTGCAGACGCGCTCCCTCTTTACCGTGTTGGAAAAGTACCTCGAAGCGTACAAGCGCTATGGCTTTAAGGGGACGCTGTGGAAGCTCTACAATCCAGGGGACGTCAAGTTCGGGCGCTTTGTTGGCCAAGACGAGAACGGGTTCAAGTACTACGAAGACCCGACGGAAGTGTATGGCCAGGACCGCTGGACGGAGTTCAACGTGGACTCGTGGGACGAGGTCGAAGGCACGCTCATCCCGCCCAAGTGGCACTTGTGGATGCACCACATGACGGACTCGATACCGGGCGAACCTGGTCAAGATGCTGCCAAGTGGGAGAAAAAGACCATTGTCGAGCACTCGGACGCGCCGTTCGCCAACCATTTGGGCGAGAGTGTGCCGTACTACCCGAACAAGACCCTCTATCGCTCGCGTGGCTACAACGTTGGCAGTGTGGCCATTGCACCGAGCGAGCCGGATCAGTACTACCTCCAGCCTGGTCACTTGCGTCGCACGCGCAAGCACGACCAGCGCTTCTTTGCTCATGTGGATTACAACAATCCCGAAAACTCGGACGAGAGCCGCGAGCAGTCGCTGCGTCCAGCAGATGTCAACTAGAGCGGCTTTGCTCACGGAGACGCTGCTTGACACGTGTGACGTGGCAGACCAGGAAAGGATGAATGAACGAATGAATGGATGGATGGCCAGGGTGGTTGACGTTCTACTTGTTTTTTGTTATTGTGCTCGGCGGTGGCGTGTTCCCATTTGGACCCTTGGTTCGTCCTGACCAACGTCTGTGTACTTCCATCCTCCTTCGCTTCAGTGAAAACACACTAACCAGTCGTCCACCGAAAAGAACAGCCGCGCCACCGGCCGTCGTCACTTGACAACAACTACGACATCGACTTACCCGGCACACTGCTAAATACATACACACCCGCCCGCTTTCTTGTGGCTTTTTAAATGGCAATTTCACTGGACCCGCTGTTCGCTTCGAGCTTGAGCGCAATGAGCGACCCGGACCGCGCCATCTTTGCATCTTCGGAAGACGCCAAGGAGACACGGCCCGATACAATCTCTTCCCCATAGTCACTGTCGTCCGCACTCGACAATTGCTGCAGTAACGGCATACACGGTTCATGCCCCGAGACATGCAACGACGTCGTCATACTATCGCTCGTCGACGTCGACGAGATCGACGACTCGGACAGAAACGACACGGTCGACATGGCGTTCAAGTCGACTTCCGTCCCCATCTGTTGGTGCCTCAACGCCGACCTCTTGTCTCTCGATACACTCGACAGCGCATCATACGCGAGTCCAGGCCGTCGACCACTTCTAGCCAGTGGCGAGTCTGGTCCCAAACTTTCGTCCGATGCTCGAACCGCCATCACTGGCGCCCTTTTTACCGGCAATGGAGCGACAAAACTGAAGTTATCGCCATCCGGTCCCATGCTCACCTCGAGCTCGTTCTGGCTCGAGCCACTCTGTGTAAAATCTGCCTGCATCACCATTTCCCTCATTGGCGATCCGCGAGGGTGCATCAAATGATCCACGTTTCCATGGGCATTGGTCGTCGTCACGAGCTCCGCATATTCATCTGGAGCCGACAGCTTGCGGCCGCTTTTAGCTACCCGTGATTGGTTCAACCCTCCTCCCCCTCCTCCTCCTCGACCGCTCGTCTGTCCATTGCCAATCAACCCCGTTAAATGGAACGTCGTGCTGGCAGCTAAATCCGCTGCAATAGGTCGTTTCTCGTCTTCCGACTCCCGGTACTGGTACGAAAAGCTGCCACCTACTTTGCGGCTACAAAAAGCCGTCGTGGGACTCACGCCTCCCTTCGTGTTGAACACACTGCTGTCCGTACTGCTGGCGACGCTTGTATTGGGCTGGAAACTCGTCGACTGACTGGACCTCGTGGACGACGCGAAGCTCGTGTCAAAGCCCTTGGAAAGCCCCAAATTCCCAGGCGAGAGCTCAATGGACATCTCGGGTAAGCCCAAGTCGTGCTCGTGCTGGAACCCACGATCTGTGGGGACTCTTAAGGCTGCTGCACCTGCTGAGAGCGCGTCAAAAGACGCGCGTGACTTGACACTGCGACGTTTACGGGACCGTAAGAACAACAGCGCAGCCACCACGAGGATCAGGATCCCCACTGCAATGCCGACTGAGAGAGCAGCGCCTCCGCTGCTGCTCTTGTCACTGTTTTTGGCATTTGTACTGGAATTTGTACTGGAATTTGTAGTGGAATTGGGGACTCCTGCTCCTTTGTCGCTTGCTAAGGTTGTCTCGGGTGCCGGGTTCAGAGGGGGCAGCGAGGGAGGCGGTGGGATAGGATATACTGAAATAGGGGATGGCGTGGTACTCGTTAGCGTCGATGAGGTTTTTTCGGTCGCGTGGTCCGGCGTTTCTATTGACGGCTCTATTTCGCTGGAAGGAGCGAGAGAAGCTCGAGGCGGGGGGATGGGCACTGAAGGCGTCTCGTGGCTCGAGCTGTGGGGCGAAGACGGCGGTGGACGCTCCGAGACGGACGCGAGGAGACTATTGACCAGGTCGTCCGTCGTCAGCGTGTCCTCGAGTTTCCTCATGGCGAGAGCTCTGGAGGCAGCAAAGAAGAACCGCGAGTGTCGTCTCTCCGTCTGTTTGTTGTTTGTCTAGTGGCGCGATAGATTGGTGGCTTTAGAAATAGCGATAGCGTGCGCTATCCGCGGCGGTTTGGTGCGACAACGACTCTATCGGTGTACATAAACGGTGTGCTGCGCGTTAAGAAAGAGACACGGACGACTGACTAGGAACGAGTCAGTGCGGACCTCGACCACAGAGTTCTGGAGTGGATAGCTGGCGTACGTATACTATGGCCAAGGAAGTAATCTACGTACGACCGGTTTGGTGCGACATTTCGAGTGGACAGAAAAACGCGGTCGGAACAAAAGTGAGACGCGGAGGGGAATCGCTCGATGCAGCAGTCACGTCGTCGTGTGATGGCCGTGGTATACCCAATGCGACTTGTCCATTTATCGACAGACGTGTGGTGGCCATGGCGTGCACAGACGCAAGGGAGCTAGCTAGCTGCATGTTGATGACCTAAACTTCGTACTGAACGACGGATGGGCCGTATACAATAATTTACCTGCAACCGACTAAGCGTAATTTACCACGGGTGCCACCGCCCGAGCTTCGATAAAAAATATCGAAGCTCAAGCGACCTCTGACATAGAGCCGAACGGACGTTCGAATATAAAATCTGGATCTTTTAGAGTCATCTATTTCGAAATTATCGTGGCGTTGACACGCGAGGAGCAAAGTTGATGAGCAAGGCACTGTGTCTGTGGCTGTAACGTGACTCGTCCCGTATACTAATGCAAGCTTTCCACGAACCTTCGGTGAGGTGTTGCGTAAAATAAAACAATCAGTAATCACGCACCTTGGGATCGTCGCCCGTTCTGTCGGAGCAGTAAAGTATTCCAAATAGTTTTCCTGACCACACATTTGTGTCGAAAGTTCCGCCTTTGCAGCACCCGTTCGAGTTCAATGTAGGGTCTTGTATGCACGTAACGATCGAAGTAATTGTAAACCGACGCGGTAAAGGTTCCGTCATCCGGTCGAGCGGTAGATAATAGCTCCACAAGCTGGTGAACATGTCGGAAAAGTGGAGTGATTGATCGGACCCGATATCGCAAGACACGTGGGATGTGATCGTAGCAGAGTTAGAAAGAATCGTCTGTAATATAACGTCACCAGATTGGTACGCAAGTGGCCTCAAGTGTATGGAGAGGCTTACAGATGTAAGCTGAAAATACCTGACAACCATCAGATTACGAGTGGCGTCGTCATCACTCACGAGCTCTTCTCTGGATGTTTGTAAGCAATCCATACTCAGAACCGACTTGTAGTGTAGCGATCGAAAGCCGTCACCAGACGGTATACGAATAAGGACGTCCTACTACCCGTTGAAACGCAACGTGAGGGTAAGGCATTACATACGACGATCACCTTCTAAAGAGTCATGAACGAGCAAATTGCAATGCTTTTTTGCATGTGCGTACTAACCAATCTAGTTGCTTCTTTGCCACCTGATCCCCGTCCGTCTTGCTCTTCCCATACTTGCTCAGTAGCGTCATCGACTTTGCCGGACTAAGCCGATATACCTATCGATCAACCTTACCCTTCTCTGATGGTAAGGAACAATGCCTAACGTCCTTTCACGGACTTGTTGAGTAGTAGCTTTGCTCTTCGTTCTTCCTCTGCTGGTCAGCTGAACTTGAAGCATTTCATGCTGTAAGCGATCACCCTTATGTGTTAAGCACGTCGAATACAGCATTTAACAACACACGACAACAACATCTACGTATCTTGATCATTGTGCAACTGTGTATTTGACCGAACATTCAGTTCACGGTCATTAGTCACTTCTAGTGTCACCTTGATGGTGCGACCGTTCATTAGATTGTGCAACACATGTGGTTGTGCTCCGGTCGATCTGAACTTTGCTTGAGCATTGCTGTTACAGCTGTCGTCATGATCATGGCCATACTTTTCATACTTTCCAGCAGCCGACGAGAGTGGCATACACACACCTTGGAAGCACATTAGTTATACCGCTTTCGCGTACACATCCAATATCTTGCAAGTCTCCAATGCGCGAGAATCTCTATTACCGATTGAAATTGCAAGCTGTGGTCACAATTCATCGACGAAGAGTTGAGCTTTCGAGACGTAAACAAAGCTCTCTTCCTTAGTATTGTTGTTGTCATGATTCCTACACCGATCGAGCACTTTCCGGTAGTCAAATGTCTCAATGAGCAAAACTAAATTTATCGTGCTTCGTTTCAATAATGAAGGCGCTTCAATACACGCAACTACGAGCATGTAGATCAAATCGCCCGGAAGTCCTTGAACTTGTTCTCAATGTCTTCTTTAAGCTCTGGATCCACAGCATTGCGCACGCCGATCAGCGCCTTTGCCATAGCCTCAGACGCACCAATCATCGGACGTAGCACTGCCACGGGCACAGCTCGGATCACTGATCGCACGTAGCCCTGCGAGCCCGTCTTCTTGTACTCAATAAGTGGCACAGCCACAATAGTCTTGGCAGCTACGTGCAGCTCACGTGCAAGAGAGTCGTATGCTTGACCGAAACCCTCCGCGGCAGTTGCTGGCTGTTGTGTCAGATACTGGCGACCTCCGATACCTCCACCCGTGTCCTGTGCATTGCGGATACCGCCACCACCCAACCGTCGCGAGTTGCGAGCGATACGACTACCAGCCTGTCGATACTTCAGCTGTTTGCGACGTAAGGCTGACGACGAGGACATCACGTCGTCGGCGTGCTCTAGTAATGCTTGGGTACCTCGAGCCACCTTTGAAGCAGTATTGAGTGTCTCAATCGTCACGGACCTCAGGAAACTCGACGCACCCTTCTTCATTCCTCGTACCAGTCGTCGGTCGCGTCCGTAGTGCTCCATTGGGAGCAAGATGAGGTCGGCAGCACCTGCGCCAATGTTCACAAATGGACGCAGAGGAGGCATGGACACACTTGCAACACACTTGTGGATCTGATGTCGCGAAATGTCTTGTACCCACGACACGAGTACGTGCTCGCCCAAAGCAGTCCATCCATCCAGTCCGCTCATTTGCACTCGTCGAAGCAGCAGTTCCATGCCCTCCAGCACAAACAAGTTGATCACTTCTAGGTAGTCACCAGCACGAAGTGCCGCGTAATCGACATGATTAGGCCGGTAATCAATCTTGATCTTGCATGGCTTAATGTCGATGCTCTGGAAGAACCACGCACCTACGCGAACATTCGTCTCCAGCGCAGGCAAACTCTCACCAATTGGTTTTAACTCCACCCCGTGCTCGCGCATCGGCATTTCAGCATCATCCTCCGCACCCTCAACCTGTTGCCGTACTGAGAATGGCGATTTCGGAGCCAACGGATCCTCAACTGGCACAAACTGCCGCAAGAACTTCACAACTTCCTGATCGAGATTGATGCGCAGTGGCAGCAAACGAGCCTTCAGTCGGTGTTCTTCGCACAAGTTCGCACCAGGCCGGATGGACGTCAGCTGCAACCGCACCATCGAGCTACCACTTTCACGTGGGTGCGTCGCTTCTGACTTCCAGTAGCACACAATCTTGCGGATCTGCGATGTGGAGATGTAATCGAGCAGTTCCACATCACCTAGTGCCAGCACAGAGTGAGATGCCAGCGACTGGGCCTCCGCTTCATTAAACATGTCCAGACGGAACTGGATCTGAGTCACCACCAACTCGAGCATTTCCTCGGTCTTCCGACTGCTCTTTTTTAACACGCGCTTTCGCGATTGATGGGAGCGACCACTTAATGCAGCACGCGTCGTTCTTGCTGCAGGATCACGCTTCATATAGGATGCACTAGGTGCGCTTTTTGTGCAGTCGAACAGAGGCGAGCTGCTTTCATCGCCAAAAAGATCACCACCATCCGAAGGAACATAATTGTCCAACAACGCATCCAAGAGTTTCTCCTTCCTGGCAGTAGCACTACCCAGTGGTCGCATCTTTTCTGCCGTGGAGTGCACATCTTTTCGAGGGTGGAGCTTGGCAGCTTCGCCGACATCGCGTGTCCAGTCGCATCCACCAAAAAATCGCACACGAACATTGAGGTTACGCAGCAGCACATGCCGTACGACGATCGGAGGCGGTGCCTCCACTTTTCGAGCCGTATTTTCACGCGCAATGGATCTTATAGCATCTTCACATTCTTTTTCACCAAACGACAAGGATGTCGCTGATCCACCTATAGGTATTTCGACGTGGTGCGGATAAATTCGCGACGGTGGGCCAGACATGGGGAGACTACCATCCTCGAACCGCCGATCATCGTAGAACCAGCGTGCCGTAGGCTGGTCTGGCGGTGAGATCGTCGGACTGCGAAATGATGAGGGGTCCTCCTGGTGGCTGCTAGTCGACGAAATAGATGCCCCTCGGGTCGGAATAGCACAAGGACGCGATGCCACGGAGAAGCCATGCTGCTGTTCGACTCTACCCGATCGCTGGTACGCTGACTCATTCTGGTATGTATCACTTCCGCGATCGTCACTGCCCTGATCTCCAGTCCCACAATCGCTGTTCGATTCCATGTCTAGCAGCTGGTTGAGCCGCGACTGAAGATTGCTGTCAAGCGCAAAATCTAGTTCAATTTCTTTGCCTTCGTCCTCACCGGCACCGACAATCGACATCGACATGGCACCACAATAAACACCTTTAAGATTTGCACCATCCACTTGCTCTTTTTCTACTTCCGCTGATGCCTGATGGTCGACTCGTTTCTCCTCCAGGAGATCCATCCGATGCGAGAACGACGATGTGGTCTCTTCGGTTTGAAGGTCACTTAATTCAACGTCATCCAGTCGGTTCTGCATACCCCACCAGTTGCTCGACGCAGCAGGATACGCGCCAATCGACAACTGGTCTACATCGAAATCAATATCATCAACAACGTTTGCAGCGCCAGCATTACCGCAGATCCCGGTTGTATTTCCAGCGCTTGCTCGTGGGCTCATGTGTTGTGCGGATGGTGGTACGTATAACTTCTCTCCCACTGGCTCAAACAAAGAAGGCTCTATCCCGGACACTCTGCTTCCAGGCGCACATTCTTCGCCTTCGCCGGCGATACCAGTACTTCCATCGGACGCAAGCCACCGCGTTGCTTGCCCGTTGTAAGGCACTGCTGATTTTTCAGAAGTAGAATCCAATGGTATCGAGTAATTTGGTGCGCTGCCAACTGGCGAGGAAAACCAAGGAGCGCCTCCTGCTGTTGCCCCTTGCGGGTTGTCGTCATTCGGTAAAGGCTCCATCAGAAATGCCCCTGCGGACTCATCTGCATAATTGTCGAACGATCGCGTTTCGGAATAGTAATCTTCAATGACAAGCTCATTAATACGCACCGGCTTTGTAGATTTGCACCTCTCATCCAGCTCGTATCTCAATCGCAACTCTGCCGCAGATAACTGGTCGTCGTGCTGAAAGTCATGAACCATACGATTCTTCTCTCTCTCAATAGCATCCATTCGTGTGCGCAACAAGCGGGCCTCTGTATCACTCGCAATCGTTCTCCCAGGAAAAATCTTCTTGCCGTTACCAAAGGCTGCTTCATCAATCTGTTCCAGTATGTTAACAGAATTGTCCCCTGAGGCGCCACTGTCGCCGACAGGAAAACGATCATTTCGCGTGCTACTACTACTACAGAAACCTGCTACTCCCTGCGAGCCCAGCACGAATTCAGATACGGCGTTAATCGGCTGCACAATCTTTGCTGGAGCAGGGCTCAAATTTGTGACGACTGAAATACCGGATGGATCACTCGATCCATCCAGACCCACGTATGCAGTAGTATCGCGCGGCCCCTGTTCAAGCGCAAGCTGGTCCGCCCACACTGAAAGTAACTCAATCAACGTGTTGAACGAATCAAAGCAAGCATAAACGTTAGCTGTGCCTAAATTCAGTTCCACAGACAACTCCGGTGACGCCGACAAAGCTGATTCCTGTTTTTTCAGATCGGTCATGGTGCGCTGAAGCAACTTCAAGTGCAGAAGGCGCCACGAGCACACGTAAGAAAACATCCACAAAACCCATCGTGACGATCTGCAGAAATCCAAACTTTTCCAAAAACATTAGCAAGGAAGGGTACTCTGTGCCCAGAGAGACACCACCACCGCCACCTCCTCCTGCGTGATTTCCCGCAAACGTAAGTGCATTCTTTTTCGGACCTTTGATGTTGCTACGGAGGAAAATGTCATTGCCAAGAAGAACGGCGTCAATTTCTTCGTAACCGGGACGTGCGTGCGTCAAAAAAAGCTCCAGGTCACCCACGGATAGTTTGAATCCTTGCATAACAGCACCTGTGACAACGTTTGAAGAGACGCTGACGGTTCCAAGCACCAGGATTACACGTGAAGTCAGTGTCAGAGGCGCGTAATCAACTGTCACGTCGTAACAATTGACGAAAAGCTTCGTGAACACGGTCTTTGACGCTGTTGCCAAAGGTACGACATCGTAGTCGCGTCCGCTCTTAGTCATTTCGAGAAGCTGCATACTTTCTTCGTCCGACATACTCGCCGAGTCTAGTGGGATGATTGGGACAGGATAATCCATCAACACCATATCTAGCAACTGAAATAACCATTTCGAGCGTACGTTGTAGCGTAAGCTGAGGTGGGACAGGTGCAAATCCACTTTCATCTCGCGCATCGCATTCGTTTGGTCGGCAATGTCGACACCCATAAACCAAATAGGAGCTTTGGATGTCCCAAACGGTGTCCTGTAAACAATCGGCACAATGGTCTTCTCACGACCATCTTCTTCCAGCAAAGTAGTGTTTTGAGCCAGTACGTGGACACGAGAGATCAGCTGCCCCATCCATTGAGACACCTGGAAGACTTTGAGAGTCTGGAACGCGAAATGGTACGTGAACAAAACTTCGTCCGACTCGGACTGATCGGACGCCTTTTCTCCGGTCCCATTCGACACGACTGAACCAGGAGCGGGTAGCGTGGAAGACAGCGGGATGTAGTCGCAAACACGCACAGTTCCTTCGCCCAGCGTGAGGTTCATGCTCATGTAGCAAGGCAACAAGCGATTCCGAAGCGCAGCTGCAGCAAGCATCTCGTTGTAACTGTCAACATCGATAGGATTAATCATCAAGAGCGCGTCAAACAGCACCATCAGGCGATCCAGAGATGACTTAAACAAAACTGCGTTGGCAATAGGCAGGCCAATTTCTACTGAATAGAGCGAAGCTGCTGCAGCAGCTCTTTCGTAAGACTCTGTACGCCCTAAAGCATCCAGATTCCATCCGTTTAGACCTACTCGTCCACCGTCATTATCATCGCCACTAACGTCGTCAGGTGAGCTGTTGACCGACGCGCCATCGGGACTCTGGCCCGAATCTTGAGACAGATTCTGCTTGCTAGTAACGGCAACCTCCATATCTTCACGCGATGGGGACTGAAGCCGCAAGCGTAGAGTGCAAACGTCTTCATTGCGCTTGTCACTACAAGCAGTGATAAGAACCGCTTCACCTAGGCGTGCACTTCGCTGATTGCCATTTTCGGGAGTCCACAATGATACTTTAACATTGTCGAATGAAGTGTCGAACTCTCCTAACCATGGAAGTGCACATCCTTTTCTGTACTGAGGTGGCATCGGTGTGCTTCCTGCTACAAAAGTCTCGCCGTCCTCGGCAGAAGCTCGTGGAGAGGCTGAAATAACCTTTACATCCTCCAAAGTCATCACAAGCCTGTCTTCGCACAATCCCCGCTTTGATGACGGACCAAAGCGAATTAGGTCACTGTTGACCATTGGAAACCGCAGTGTTATCTGCACACATTCCGTCGTCACGTCGAGCGTTTTGACAAAATTCTGGACCTCGATTCTCCTGTCCACATCTCGTACTTTCTGCTTCTCAGCCGTCGAACCATCTTCCAGTAGGGCTAGCAAGCGATGCGCCCTGTCCACTAGATACATGTCCCATTCTACGAGGACGGGTTGCACATTCACCCGCAAACCGAGAGAGGCGGGTGCTGCTGATGTTCTGTCATCTGATTCAGGCTCAAAACCGATGCGCACCTGAGCCGATAGATTCGCTGACAAATTGGCGCGTCGCCCAGATACTGGTGAAGTATCAACGCATCGCAGAATGCACGTCGACAGCATGGCTGCTTCATCTTCTTCAGCGTCCAATGACATCCGAGGAAACGTCTTTTCGGTAATCGTACATGTTCCAATACTAAACGCAAGCGACGAATGCTGTGAATACACCAGGCTTGAGAAAATCGTATCTTTTATCGACAGTTCCAAGCGCTCGAGACCATCCACACAGGGCATGGCTTTCTTTGGTCGGATGGAAGTACGAGGAACACGGCCGTCGGCCACCATGCCCTCACCCTCTTGTCCGCTCGGCACATCCTCGTGAACTTCATCGTCATCGTCGGGCATGTCATCGTATAGGAAAACACATTGACACTCGAGCAAATGGACCTTTGTTCTTGACTGCACTTGGTGCGCAGCTTTGTGCTGGGCTGCTGTTGTAGATGACGACAACTGACTTCGATCGTCGTGTGTGTCGCTTTCGTTAAAGCCGTACCGAGCCGACGTGTACATGGATTGACCCATCATACTCTGGCTTCCAAAAGACGCACTCGGTGCAATCGAGTTAGCAAGTCCAGAATCACACTCGAAAAACCCGTCATCCTCATTGTCCAGGTCGGACAGTCCTATACTATCCACACTTTCGGCAGCAGATAATCTTCGTGTCGTGAACAACAGTTGCTCCTCAGCGGGTGGTGTTCTTCCGCCAGTTGAGAAAACACCACGATGAGCATTTTTTAATTCGTCTTGCGTTTGTCGATAGTGCAGAAGCAACTGCTCAATGCGCTGGAATTCCTTAAACGATAAATCGATCGCTTTTTCACCCCCAACAACTTCGTCGTCGTCACCTCCAGTCATCCATCCGGGTCGATTCTTGCAAATGGACCGGAATGTCGCTGGCGATGAGTATCGCTCTTCAAGGTGATGCGTATTAGGCTTGGTAGTGCTTGCCAAAAATGCATCCAGAATTTTCGCGAGTTCCGGAAAATACTGAGGCTGTAACACGACCCGGATCGAGTGGAAAAATATATCTGCATCCATTGCTGGCGCCTCAAATGCCTCATAGTGGGAAAGTTTCACTTGGATGTAGCACTGCTTGCTCGGATCACTAGCAAGGAACGGATGCAGTACCATATCGCTGTATTCTGTGCGGCGGCACCGCTTATTCCATCGACCTGCTTCGCCAGATTCTTCGCCGCTCAAGTGCAAGCTCATACTAATATCGCGGAACTTAATGCCTTTGTGCGATATACCGAACAGTGTACTTGCTGCCATCGACTGCATCCCGCCACCCATCGTCTGCGAGCCACACATGCCTCCTGGATGATCCAAAGTGCCTCGTCCGTACACACTCATTACTTCCGAAGCCGACTCGTCTGTAAACTGCGCCCACTGCAGTCGACACAGTAACGCGACGTCTCGTCCATTGTGCTGTTCGCCTGTCTCCAACCGCAGACACACATTCGACAAAGTGACTTTGATCTTGGACGTCACCTGTTCAATCCAACTGGCCACAAAATCCAGCCCTTCCCGAGAAATCTCATCCACTTCTTCATGTGTCGTATCCCTTTTTGCCTCTCCACTGTCCTCCTGCTCTTGCTCTCCTGCTTCTGTCTGTCCTGCGTCGCTCGTCCCAGTCGGCTTCGCCTCAGCCTTATTCAAAGGGACCAAGACGATCTCAACATCGTCAATTTCCACCAAGCAGCTCTCGTTTATGATATTTGCGTACGAGATGGCTACACGAACCGAGCCCATGTAGCCTTTTTCGACCCTAAATGGCAGTCCCTGAGCCTCACAGAGCTCAGCGTTGAGCACGTCAGCATTTAACAGCAGATCACACAGTTCCAGCCGCCCAGAGCGCAGATGGACGTCCAGTTGGTCCAGATCCAGCTCGTCTGCAGCCAAGAAACGCCCAATCATGCGCTTCAGTACAAACTTGTAGAGCCGCTTGAGCGCCGGGTCCGTCAAGTGCTTAAAAAACTGCATCGCTGCCTTCTACTCGTGTCCGGAATAAAGTTAACGGAATTTCTTGGGCTCACAGTCTTTTGCAAGAAAAAAAAGAGAGAAACGCGCTAAAAATAAAGAAATCGGTAAAAAAAACAAAACAAAAGATTACTAAAAAGCGTTTTTTAGACCAACCACAGCGCTTCGAGATCGGAGAATTGGCACGTAGATAGAGAGAAACAGTACCTGCTTGATGGTGGTGATACGAGATCTCGACTACGTCTGCTGGACCAGCAAGGATGCACTCGCGGACGCCGCGTCTTTTGCCGGCGTCAGTCTGACCTCTCGGCTTTGTGTTGCGTTGTTCTTTGAAGAATTCGGAGCAGTTTCATTTTAGCCAATCAGCGAGACGGCTCTGCACTTCCATCCAGCGTCTCTACCCCTGTGAAGCGTGTTTTACTTGCTTTATAAAGTGCATCGCTATAGACAGGAAACGTCGGAATTTTGTGCTGCAAACATACGAGTCCAGTCGTCACTTGAAGCTGGGGTCGTCTGGGGAGCAACTTGCAGGGCATAGTGCAACATTAGATCCCACAGCTGCAAGGACACGCGCCTTTCCGGCCACGTTCGAGCTATCAGCAAGTTCAACGAAAACGACTTGTCCGAATGCTACTTCAACCGGAACGTCGCTACTCGACACCCTGATTGCGAAACAAAAAGAAGGTCCAAGCGTACGCTGTGGCGAGCAACAAACACGTCAGTCAAGTACGACGATGTCTCTACGGCGTTGCTAGTTTAAGCGTCATCCACGTGCTGCAACTACACAACAACAGCCAACCTGCTCATTATCTTCGATACCCTCTATACGTAGGCTGCGAGGTTTAGATGCCAACAACTGGCTGCTGCTTTACCAGTTGTTCTCACGAATGAGCACATCAAGAGGCAAGGTGACAAAAAGGCATCCAACACTGCCATTCTCTTGACAAAACGACGAGCCAAAACAACAGACGTACGGTTTCTGTCCACGTCACGACCACACGATCTCACAAAACAGCTGCTACTGACGCAAGAAAATCGACTCTTAAAACTGATTTCATCCTGATTTAAGTTGGACAAAGTAAACAAGAGGAGACGCCACGAGCATCTGTTTTTGCTGCGAGTGGCGTCAGACGCTGCATCTGTCAGACGCTGCATCTGTTGACCTCGTCGCTCGTTTACGCGCTCGCCTTGGTCTTGAGTCCCAAGCTCGTGCAAAAGCCGTCCAGGTCCGCGTGCATCTCGTCGTGGTGCGGCACCTTCTTCATCCGTCCGAGCCAGGCCGACAGCTTGGGGTGCTTGCTAAAGTCAAAGATGCCCATGAGCTCCACCTGGACAAACTCGCAGTAGGCAGCAACGTCCGCAATCGTTGGGTGGTCCGTCTCCGCCACAAAGTCCTTCACCAGGAGCTTCTCCGTCGTGTCGGCCAATTTCGTGAGCATCGTCGTCGAGCCCTTGATCATGACCGCCTCTTCTGGGGTGCCAATGTTCATCTTCGTGTGCATGAGCGGCACGAGCACTTTCGATGTGATTTCACGCGTGTGCGTGTGGTGCCAGTGCAAGTACTGGTTCACCTTGGCGTGGGCTTGCACGTCCGTCGGGTACAGGTCCGTCCAGCCAAGCTTCTCCGCCAAGTACACCAAGATGGCGTTGCCCTCAAAGATGAAAAAGTCGCCGTCTTTCAGCACAGGGATCTGGCCGTTGGGGTTCAACGCGAGGAACTCGGCCGACGTGAACGCGGCGCTGCCAAAGTCCATCTTCACGAGCTCGTGGTCCACCTGCTTGAGGCGAAGGACCCACTCGGCCGCGCGACTGGGCTGACTGATGAGGTTGCCGTACAACTTCATTCGTGACCGATTAATGACTGAAAGTTTCACTGGTGCGGTGGACGGCGATTTCGAGAATGAGCTGCTGGGATCTTTGCAGCGTGAGCGGTGGATCTTTTTCTCTGTGTGTGGACCACACACACACACACAGAGATACCTCCACGCACGTGCGTCACTGCTTACGTCGCCATCGACGGTTCCAGCATGGCTACAACCCGGAAACCACGTGCGATTTGCACGCGATTCGTCTAAGTACGATCCCGCGTGTCCCGCGTAGCACGTACGCAAGCAATTGGAATGCTGGACCGACTGGAGCTGCCCACACACGAGCACTCGAACGCGTTTTGGTCGGCCCCAATCACTGTGAAGCGTCTTGCCGTGTTGGTTCTGAATGCATCGCACGATTCTTGGCACATGGGTGGCGTGGGCATGCACAGCTCGGCGCTGTTCTGGACCTTGTGGAGCCACGCCCAGCTGACCGTATGTGCTGACGGCGGCGCGAACCGTTTGTACGATCGTAGTGTAGCCATTGGAGCAAAAGACCTGGTAAAAGCACCGGACTTTATATCAACGGTGACTTGGACTCCCTGCGCGATGACGTGCGGGCGTTCTTTAGTGCTAAGGGGACGACGGTAGTGAAGGATCCCGACCAGTCGACGAACGACTTGGACAAGTGCTTGCGACTTGTGTATCAACAACAGCAAGAGCACTACACGACGGAGAACAGCGTCACTGACTTGTTTTCCGTCCTGATTTTTGGAGCTATGGGCGGACGATTTGACCAGGAGATGCAGAACATCAACGCGTTGTTCAGGTGGAGCGGCAAGTTCCAGGAGCTCGTGTTGCTGTCGGACGAGACGACTGCGAGGTTGCTCGAGCCGAACGTGCGGCATGTGATTACGCCCAACTTTGCGTATGAAACACGCACGTGCGGCTTGATACCCGTAGCGGGAACGTGCGAAGAGACGACGACGTCGGGGCTGAAGTGGAATCTGACTCCAGGCATGGAGACAGGCTTTGGAGGACTGATTAGTACCTCGAATCACGTGGATGATGCATGCGAGCAGGTAGAGGTCGTGGCGTCGCACCCGCTCATTTGGACCACGGAACTGAAGAGGCCGCTCGACTAAGTTTAGTATAGATATCGCATGCTGAATGAGTGCATACGAACTTATTCTTAGTACTGAATGCAGTACTAACAAAAAGTTCGCATTGTCGCTATTATGTTGGCATTCTCTAGTCAGACAGTCGTAATGAAGGTACCTGATGTACATTGGGTACACTTCATTTGCGCGGAAGTGATGATGCTATCGGACGTCTAGATACGGACGAAGCTCGTATCGTACACAAGTGCACATCAAAGCTGCAGCTTATCCTCAACTAATGATTTGATCCTATTTTCACATTAAATTCGGAGCTTCTGCGCGGAAAAAGACGAAATAAATGACTGGTTGCGGGTGATCCACCACGTGGCGGTGGTATTGCGTTGGGTCAAGCATTTCAGATCTTGCAACGACAAGCACAAGAAGGTCACAGCATAGCAGCGTGAAAAGACCTCTTGGGTACTAGGGAGTGCTGTGATGATCCACTTTTCATTTTCAGACTAGAGTTTCTGAATCAAGGGGGTAGTAGCCCTGTTGATGATAATTTTCTCTGAGCATTCCCATGCAAGCAAGTAGTAGGATTCTGCGTGTACTTACGATCCAAACGACGAAGGAGAAAGGAGTGATGATACGTATATTCTGTCAACCATCTTTCGGGGCTGATATTCCAAGTACTTGATGCATAACGAGAAATACTGACCTTTCCATCGTCGAAACCATTGTTGCGTCCAAGGTATCTGATACCTTCCTCAATATCTAAATGTCTAAATAGTACACGTAGTCGTCACCTTGACTGTATCATTCAGCACGGCAGCTCTCCAGCCTGATGCACGTTAATGCGGTTCAGACGGCAGCAGCCAAGCACTTGCTCGGGCAATTCTTCGTCTGTTTCCCCTTGCACCACAAATGCAAAGTCGATCACCAGACGCGACGTCTTGTCCAGTAGCGAGTATATCCCTCGACGTGCCACGTACGAGAAGGCGTGCATGTCCACGACAACCTCCGTACTACCGTCTCGAAAGTGGTAGATCCGATGTTGTGGCCGTGTCAGCACGGGGGTTGCATTGTGGCTCACCAGAAGCCTCTTGCTCACCCCTGTGATGCCGCACTCGTCTTGATTTGTCACTTGTGCAATGATCTTGAAACGATCGGTCACTGATGTATCCGAGCCAGCCTCTAAGAAGCATTTAAGCAGCTTCACCGTCGTCGACGTAGGGTTCTCTAAATCCTGCAAAGCCTCAGTTAGCATCATAAGCATCACCACTTCTCGACCGTAGGTAAGCACAAACCTTGACTATATCGTCTGGTATCTTCCAGTACAGAGCTAAGCTGTACCCTGGGCCATCGTATGTGCCGTCTCCCCACATACTCGGCCCGTATGACGGAAGCTGATGTGCACATACTTCGTCAAAATCGCAGTCACACCTTGACAGCAAATGTCCATCGCTTACCTGAATGTTGATGACGAAGAGCCGACTAGTATCGTACGGTGGAGGAAATTCCACGTGCTGGGAGATCCGATCCAGCTTACAGTCCGTTCGAACTAAATCAGCTCCGATGAACTCGAAGAGTGCTGGCTTCGAAGGCTATACGATCAGTGCAACCACATTTCGTCAGCATAATGGTCAACACAGCACACATAAAGCTAAGCGCATACCTCTTTCTTTCGCGACTTCTTATAGTTGGCGCTCCGAACTGCAAACGTTTCGGCTCTCGCTCTTGTACAGGAATGCTCCACGTTGCTTGACTGACCATTTTCTTGCACCTTGCATCGGGACATGGTATTGCTCATAGGAAGCTTTGCAGAACCTCGATCGCCGGTACGACTGGAACGCCGGTGTGGCTCATCGTCGGATCCATCCATGCATTGGTCATCGGTATTTCCTTGATCTGCGCCTGCTGAGCTACTCGCTTTGTGAATGCAGCAGTTTACAGGGTCCCTGCACTGTGCGACGTCAGCACCGAGAAGCGCCTTGTCGAAATAACCAGTCGACTTCCCGATGCTCCTCATGCTTCCACGACACGGATGATGCAGTGGCCGTGGATTGTACACGCTCAGCACGAACACGACTGATACAGCGAGGCAGACAGCGACTTTCCATAGCACGTGCTCGCTGGCAAGGCAACGGATTGCCACAATGTTCAGCATGAAGCCCACAATAAGGCACTGCTTGGTTCCATCAACGTGCAGGTGTAGATACCAGCACGAAGCGTTACGCACACTGCTGTCCAGCTCAGCAGGAAACTGCGTAACGATGCGAGGCGGAGCTTTCCGCTTGACAGGTGGCGCCGGTGCAGTATTAATTGGTACTTGATGACGTTGCCCATCGACTATACCATGACTGCTAGGAAGAAGTCTTTCGCCTGGTGCAGGTGGCGAGTCGCAACTAGTGTCGGCCACTTCGTCAGGGCCACCTTCCGAGTCACGAGTCGCCATCTTTTCGGCTTCCATTTGCTCCTGAAGTAGACGCTGTCGGTAAAGCTGCTGATGCGAGAGAAACGGCGTCCCTTCAATAGCTTTATCGTTTCGACCGTCTTTTCCGTTGACGACCTCGGCGATCGCAGATGTCCAGATATCAAAGTCTGACTCCGTGTCAGCGCATAACTGAACAATGACAAAGAAGAACATCGCAGTAGTTCAACGTCAACTCACACTCTACACTCAACCAGAAGTACCTCATCTTACCTTGTATTGGACGCCGCGTTTCGTGTCGATATCGTGCAAGGACAACGTTGAGACCTGGAAGAAGTAGTGCGTCGGCGCATTCCTAGCAAGAGTCTTTTCAAAGAGCAATGACACGCTCTTCGCATTCAAGTCCAAGGCACCACGATACCATGCATGTGTCTCGTTCAAGTACAACAAATGTTGTGGCTGCTCCTGAACTTGGTCCGATTCTTGCGGTTTCCTGGAGTTGGTCTGCTCCTCAATACTTGCGTCATGTTGAATGGCCGATTCTGCTTCGTTAGCGGTCAATCCGCTCAAACATCCAGAGTGGTCATGATTCCCATCATCGTCGTCCGTTCTACCACTTGGAGTGCACGAAGCGTTTGGTGGTGCACCAGACGACTGCCTTCTTCTCTCAAAGAATCGGTTGTTTGAATCAGCAGCTGCATCTTTACCAGTCGGGACGGCCGCATCAGACATGTGTACGATGTTGCCATTGGCCAACGACGATGGCATGTGGTTGGCAGGATTGTGCCGATAGTACGAGAGAACTCCACGCTGGCGATCAAGCACGAACCATCTTCTGTGCCAAGACCTCTTTGTACCCCACTTGCTGTCACTTATCTTGTGCAGGTAACCACAAACATACTTTCTTGTACTTTGAGACTCCGACGAGAAGGAATGACTGGCACATATAGCCGTTGCCGAATCATCATTTTGTTGATCACAGCCATGTTGTTGGTTGAGGCCTTGGGACTTACCAACATGTAAGATGCTTCGGCCAACGTGACCGACTTTGGATATTCCGCCACCAACAGCTTTGCCCATGTACCTCCCCATCTTCTGAACGCCACGCGAGCGTGGGATTCCAGGTCGACGCCGCCCTCGCCTTGACTGAGCGACGGGGTCTTCAGGTGGGGGAGCAAGACCCGGAGCAGACACTGGTAACACTGCGTCCGTGCGTTGTCTTTCTGAACTACTTACATCACTTGCGCGTTTACCGTTGTCATCCCGAACCGCAGCACTAGCCTCGTTCGAAGTGCTTGTCAGCTCGTCATTCTCGTTCATCGAAGAAATGCTATCATGGAATGAGCTTTGAGATATCTCCATCTCCGTCAGATGGTCAGAATCATCGAACCCGTCCGAGTCTTCATCACCACTATCTCCGCCACCAACAAAGTCAAATGAGCTGAGCACGTTCTTGTTTAAGTCATCTCGGCATGACGGGCTGTCACTTGAGTGGTCCCTGATGAGTACACACACGTACACCTGGTTCGTCAATGCTTACCCTATAAACAACGGAATAATCATGCATCTTACGAGTTCGACACAGACTCTTCAATGTTGCGAGACGATGCTAGTGGACTTTGTGTAAGTACAGACGGCTGGAGATGAACTGCAAGAAACTGCAACATCACACCAGAGTACAGCACGTTATTATACCATGCATTTATGATCGTCGATCCAAAAGCCCGCAGGAACTAACCTCCACGACGTCCGTATGTAGGCGCATCCAGGTCGCAAACTGCGAATAGGACAGCACCCCTGCCATCGGAATTTTACACTCTTCAAACGCAGCATAGAGTTTTTTTGGCAGTAGCGTGTGCTCTTCCAGGTAACCGAGTAAGCACAGGTAGTCTTTTTCTGCGATACAGCCTTCCCCATTGCTGCAATAAACAAAGACCACAAAACAACAACAGCATATAACATTGTTTCGTCAGTCATCCCCCGTCCTTTGGTCCTTCCATCTGATAAACATCAAGATCGTACGTCTCTCCAGTACTAATAATGTTGTACATGGTAAAGATGTAGCTGATACGGTCTTCCGTTTTGCCACTAAAATTAGTGCAACACCATAACATCAACAGGTCTATCAGTGAAAGTCGCATCACCGGCAGCTCCACCAATGAATCAGCCACGACTCAATCCACCAACTCGTAGAATAGAGCCAAGATGCAGACAAAAGCCGCCTTTGAAATCGTGTCTCCCCGGACATCTTCAAAGCACTGCATTGTCATCTCTGTCACACCCACTCACAAGCAAAAATCAGACCATGCAATAGCATCCTTGTTTCAAACTGGCCAAAAGTACCTCCAAAAAGTCCTCGCAGTAGCTTTGACGACACTAGTCCTTCTTTTTTCACCACATAGTGCTGCTCCTGGTCGTCGATAGCGTCTCCCTGTCATCGGTATTTTACGGAAAATCTGATTCGTCATTTATTTTTCCGTCTGTAACCAATTTTAATTACAACGCGTATTACCTTAAACGTGAGCCACGCAACTGTAAACTCACTGGCGTCGACTGTAATGACAAAAAATAAAATCAGCATCCAGTCGGCACGTACCCATCGATCCACGCGCCATCTCCGCACGAATTGACCGACTTCTTCGTATGTGACTGTCAAGTATCTAGAGATGCATGAGAGAAGTCACGTACATGATCGGTAGAGTCGACGCTGGGTGGAGGCGGACGTGCCCATCTCGTCGACGTCTGATACAAACGTGACGCGTAATGTAATTTACAGAGCGCAACGTGTAATATAAATATAAATACATCCACGACGACCTCTATGCGAGAAAAAAAAACCATCAACCAAAATGTCCGATAGAGTGCGCTATTTTCAAGTATACGTCGGTATACGCGCACGACGTCAGAGAGCGACGCGGTGGAGGGTCCGACCTTCAACACGAACTTGAACCTGGACGTCCTTTGTTGTCCACCGACTTTGGTCACTAGCACGCTGCAACTTCAATTGACAACGAGCTCGAAGGACCTTCAGAAGCGGTGATAGTGAACGACCGTCTCGTCTTGATCCCCGGTCGATGCAAAACGCGTCACCTTTGTCGAGTAGATGTTGAGGTATGGAGAACTCCTGTAGCACCATTTCCAGTTGCTGCGAAGGTCTGCATGGAACACAAGAAGGAGATACGTCCACACAAGCATATACCGTCAGTACATGATGTAGAGATGTGTGTAGCTGGAGAGAGTCCGACTTGACTTGCATGGCAATTGTAGTCTTCAGCAGCCAGAGAGGACACAGGCCGAGACAATTGTCCTGCGCGCTCCAGGTGTCCATTTCCACGACCTTGTTGCTCTCATCAGCTTCCAAAGTGTCGTACACGTACGGGTAGCATAACAACCGACCAGCTACTGCCGTAGCAGCTAACGTCGACGGTCGTTTCCACTCGAGGACACCAAGTTCATTCGTCGACAAGAGGAGGTCCTTGCAAGCGGAGACCGTCCACTTCGCAAATGCTTTCGCTCTGGACCTGCTCGTTGCGGAGCTTTTTTTGCTGACGAGTTGAGGACGAGAGAGGTTGGCATTGACATTCACGACCAAGGGATCGTTCACATCCGTTGCGAGCTCGACCATTTTCTCATGCACGAACGCGGTTACGTGCACGAAAAAGACGTTGCCGTCCAGCTGCAGTGCCCGGACGTGCTTGGTTTCAAGCCATTGCCATTGACCCGAGTTGGTCTCGTTCTGGAGAACCTCTAGCACGATCGTTGTCTGCTTTGTCGTCAGTGCACAGCAGTCCACAAGACACGATGGTCGAAGTCCAGAGGCGACGAGCACCACGTCTTGAAGCAGCACCCGCACTTGACGCCTCGTCAGAGATGCTCGACCTCTTGTTGTTAGTCGAGTATGAAGACGTTGGGTCAACGTCTGGAGCTCTGCCTCCGTTGGGTACGAAGTAGCTTTACAGGGCTCTGTCATCAGTGCCGAGTGATGATAGAACCACCATGACGTTCGGGACAAGTGGTGCTGGTCCTGGAGCTGCAGGAACGAGTGGATGTCCCTGTCGAAAGCTATTAGCAGGCTTAACGCTCTCGTGCGAGCAGGGTTCCTACTGCACGTCATTACCAAAGATACTATTGGAGCAAAGATGCCGAGAGCTCAATGGATCGTGGACCCAGTTCAGGTTCATCCCAGGATCGATCGACCATGGTTCAACAACTTGCGCGATTCGATGTTACGTGTATGTTGCAGTGGATCCAGGTTGACTACGCTCTGTTGAATACCTCCTAAGCCCCGCTCTAAGATCGAGTGATCCTGTGGTAATGGTAAGTAGCTAACCTTGGTCGTCATCCAAGCGATCCAAGACGTCCATGAGGGTCTCATCCCGTCCGATGCTGCCCAAGCTTTCGCAGATCAACACTAGCGACGTGAACAGCTTTTTCCCGATACCCGGCTCAACTTTGTGTGCTATCGAGTACCCGAACGCATTCACTGCCGACAGGAAAATAGTAGCGGATGCAGCGAGGTGAGGCAGTGCCTTGTACACATGCAGACTATCAATCAGTAGTCCATCGGGTGACGTCGAGGCGGTGCTCTCAAGGGATCGAGGTCGGGTCATTAACTCCCCTTCATCCTCTTCCGACGACGGGATCAGTTGACCACTTTGTTCTTGAGACGGGAAACTGCTTTGGCTTTGGGTATCCGACCAAGATGTGAGCGCGTGATACCTTTCAAAGGGATACCGGATCACTTCTGCGACTCCAACGTCAGAAGTGATCGAGTGAGCAACGCGTACATTCCGCAGGAACGAGACGTCCATCTGCGCGTTTAGTTTCCTATCAGCTGTGATAGTGGGCAATGCCATCATGAGCGTGTTCTTGAGGTTGGTGTCAATCTCCCGAGTTGCTCGACCAGCTACGTCCCAAAACCGCGACGCCATCATGTCCACACCTTCTGAAGTCAACCAGTTGAGCTCGGTAGTAGCAGTGAACAACCCAACTTGATAGTCGTGGGCAGGGCATTGCACGTGGGGGCGCATGTTGCAGTCGACATCGAGCATGACCCGAAACGGGTTGAACCGTCCTCGCTGTTCCTTGCCATTTCGCAAGCGGTACAATGCAAGCAGCACGACAACAATCAAGACACCTTTCAATGTCACACCCTCCTTCTTGCATCGGACTAGAGCTGCCTGCATACAAGTGGGTTCTCCATCAGCAAACAACGCCATGGTGCTGTTCGTCAAAGGAGGTATTGCGAAATCGTGCTGGTCTTTTCGAGCAGGTAGTAGAGGCGTGAACTTGTGCACGTTGCCACGGAAGATCCGTCGACCAAAGAGGGCATTGGTTCCTTTGAGCAACGGCTTGGCCCATGTGATTTTCTTGAGCCACATCCGGTAGAGCGATGGATGCAATGGCAACTCGGTGACAGTCGGTATTGTTGGCAGTTGCTGCTTCGCTCTTGCAAGTATCGACACCTGTTCAAGGACGCAGTTGAGCACTACAAGACCCGAGAACCCGTCGGACATGTACTGGTCCGAAAAGAGCATGAAGCGAGCATAGTCTTTGCGTTTGGCCATCCACACAGTCAGGCAGAATGGGAGCTGGCTGTAGCGATCAAAGCCGATGCTGCACTCCTTCTCCACGAACGCTTGCCAGCTCGAGGGGGTGCCGTCTCCATAGTCTGCAGGTGACAGCATCCTCACTCGAAGCAACTTTGCGAGGTCTTCCGACGTTACTGGAGCTTGGATCTCTGCTGTAAAGAGTTGATCACGAACTTGAAGTGCTCGCATCCGAGGGTGCATGTTGAAAGTGTTGAGAACTGCAGTGGGGAGGAATCGAAGCAGCTTGGCGGTGTCACCTCGAACGAGCATTGAGTGGGCGAGTTTGGTGGAAACCCCGTCAGTTGCGGAGACCATTCGCTCGATACCCCGAAGAGAGACTCGACTACCGGCGGGTGGACAGTCATCATCTCCTTTCATGCTGGACTTGGTAATTCTTGAAACGACGTTGAATGAGTATAACGGATGATGTCGAAGTGATAATGAGCACGAGCTGTGCTGACAAGATCATACATGAAGCAGTCTTGATGGGCTTTCCGTGACCACGGTTGACATGCGTCGGTGGTCAATCCATAGAATCGCAGGGTAAGGCGAAGCTATCCGCAAGAGACTTCTTTTCTGTCAAAACTTATGCTACGTCAACCACTGCCTTGGTACATTCTTGTCAACCAAATGCATCGACGTGGTCTTTCAACGTCACCGGATGGATGCTCATACTGTGGTCAAAGATTGACACCCATCTGAGAGATCACTTCCGATTCACACCAGGCCTTTGCAGTCCCTTGAAGATTTGCAATTCGCTCTGTGGTCTTGTCAAGTTGAGTGCCTCCGTGCAACCAGAACACTCTGAGACCAAACTTGGTCTGACAAACACTTGTTTGACTCCAGAAGGCTGCGATCTGAAGGAGAAAACAATGCAAACAACATAGTAGCACATGTGAATGCAAATGCCACAAAGCAGGGAGGGCTAACGTTGCACTGCTGTGGACCGGATCTCGATGCCTTACCCGGGTCGGTATGTTGACTATGCTGCAGTGCATTCTATACCTGAGCCAGATGCAACACGGAACGCACTGCGAACGGACACGAGTATGCTGGTTTACAATGCATGCCGCATAGTAACACCGGATTCATGAAAGAGTTGCAGCATGGTTGCCTGATGAAGTCTATGATAAACACCATGTTGCATGCCGTCGAAGCTAGGCTTGCTGCAGGGTGCGCAGAAGATAAGTCTGCTGCCGGCCAACGCTTACCGGCAAGTTCCACCAAACAGGATAAGTCGATCCAACAAGAGCATAAACGTAAATCAAAGAGATTCATTGCGACGTCAAGGCATATATCTCACTTCATGCATGGTTGCGTTTGCGACGCAAAGGGACTACTGGCACAACAATGCATCACTATTGCTCTCCAATCGTCCACAAACATCATTGAACTGATCCCGTAGCTCTTCGTCCCACATACACACCTCATTCATAAATGTGTAACAGTACGTGTACGGAGCAATAGTCGAGCGACAGATGGAACATGGCCACAGTTGATTGTCGCCACATCTTTCAGTCTTATGCAAAGCTCTCAGCCTACACCCTCCCAACTCATTTGGCATAAGGGCACTCGACACCATTCATCTCCACGTAAACGGATTTCAACTGCGTCCACGACTCAACGCCTGCGAGACCATTTTCACGACCCACACCAGACTTCTTGTAGCCACCCCACGGGGTCTCCACAGGTGCGAGGTTGTAATTGTTGATCCACGTTGTTCCAGCCTGCAGCTCATCGATCATACGGTGTGCACGAGTAATATCCTTGGTAAAAACACCTGCCGATAGACCAAAGGTCGTGTCATTCGCTCGAGCCAGCACCTCTTCCTCGGTATCAAATGGCAAAATGCACATGACCATGCCAAAGATCTCTTCACGCACAATCGCCATGTCGTCGCTGCAGTCCACAAAGATAGCAGGCGTCAAGAAGAAACCATTCTTGGTCTCTTCCGACGGCACGACACGTTCACCTCCTTCTTTCAATAAAGTAGCTCCTTCTGCGACCCCTTTCTCGATGTAGCTCTGCACGAGTTTCATGTGCTTTTCATGGATCATTGGCCCAATGTCCGTCGCGCTGTCCATCGGGTCTCCAATCCGCAGCTTCAGCGTGCGTGCATGTACACGGTGCACGAACTCATCAAATATCTTCCTCTGCACATAAACGCGCGTGCCGTTCGAGCACACTTGTCCAGACGAGTACCAATTGCCCATCATTGCGCCTGCTACTGCTTCGTCCACGTCTGCATCGTCAAACACAATCAGCGGCGACTTGCCGCCAAGTTCCATTGTCACTTTCTTCAAGTCCTTCGCAGCTCGTGCGTACACGTTCACACCCGTCGCAACCGACCCCGTAAACGACACTTTCGCCACGTCTTCGTGTTGCACCAATGCTTCTCCCGTCTCTCGAGCGCCCAAAACGACATTAAACACGCCTTCAGGGACTCCAGCTTCCAGATAAACTTCCGCCAGCTTGAGAGCCGTCAGTGGCGTCTCCTCTGACGGTTTAAACACCATCGAGTTCCCGAATGCCAGCGCTGGCGCCGATTTCCACGCTGCACTTTGCAACGGGTAATTCCACGCACCGATCCCCACCGTCACGCCCAGTGGCTCTCGTTTCGTATACGCCCAATTGCCTCGGTCCAGTGTCACGTGCTGGCCACCAATGGAGGGACATACTCCGCCATAGTAAGTGAGACAGTCGGCCGCGCTTGTTACGTCGGTTACACTTGTCTCAGCAATTGCACGACCCGTGTCCAGCGTCTCAAGTGTCGCAAGTTCGCCTGTCTGCCTCGTCAAAATGTCGGCAGCTTTGCGTAGAGTCGCGCCACGTTGCGCAGGACTCAGTCGTTTCCAGTGGCGCTGGGCCGTGCGAGCGGACGCGACTGCCTCGTGGACTTGGGTATACGTTGCAGTGTATACACTCGTTTCAGGCGCGCCCGTAGCGGCGTTCAGGAGCGTGGTAGAGGTCCTGGAAGGTGCCGTCACGACGGACTTGCCGTGAATAAATGACTGGACGACACGCTTTGTAGCCATGTTAATTGAACGAAGTAGATACACTTTTGTGAGAGTGTGATCAGAGACAAGACGCCTGACGCCAAAACGAGGCGGAGATGATGGGAGGGGTGATGTCGTGCAACCTTCGTGCAACTTGATCTTCCAGCAACATCAACGATTTGATCGACGCACTGGTGCACGTTTCGAATGGCGGGTCTGTGCGCCGCGTTGCGGCGCTTTGCCTGCCGTGACTGTAAATGGTATGGATTGTCGGATGGCTCCATCTCGTCCGCGTTTGTCTTGTGCATCGTTTGATGTAATTTTGGATTGCTAACACCCTCTGTGTGACCTACTAGCCAGCGATATATAATCTCAAGTCGTTGTTGGCGTGCAGTTTTGAGCCCTCGCGCTATGTTGCGCTATTCTAGCCGTTCTGCTGCTTCCAAGTCGATGGTTTCACTGCCTCCTTACTATGAGCTCCAGAAGGACGAGGTGCACTGCTTTCTAGGACCAAATGGCAGCGGCAAGACGCAGTTTTTGACCAAGTTACAGCTCCACGTGAAGACGCAACAGGCACAAGGAAAACTTGAAATGTCTTTGCGTCTAGCAAGTCTCAGTCTCGATGCTCATCGAGAGTTTGTAGCGAAGCATGGACGTCGCGTGGTGGCCGATGTGCTGGGCGGTATCGGTTCTCCCAAAGCACGGGACCTTATCGTGCGTCTCGGTCTCTTTCCGGTGTGGGAGCAGCAAGTGCGTCACTTGTCGACGGGTGAAATGAGAAAGATGATGCTTGCTGTGTCGCTGCTAGAAAGTCCCCGAGCTTCAGTGTTGATCCTCGATCAACCGTTTGATGGACTGGATGTGAAGGCGAGGAGACAGCTGCAATGGATGCTTGGAGAATTAACGAGAGGATTTACAAGGCTGTTGGTCGAGACGACGGGCGCTAAGCACGAGGCGTTTGCGTACAAGACGCAGGTGTTGGTAGTTGCCAACCGCCTGGATCAAGTGTTTCCCGAGATCTTTACGCACACAGTATTGATGAAACAGGGTGGAGACACACCGTTTGAGATGCTGGCGTGACCAAGAGGTAAAGACGATGACGCACGCAACAAGTCGATGATGAAAAGGCTTGAAGGGTTTTACCAAGAGGAACATGAAAAACGAGCGAAGATGACAGATATGGAACTATTTTCACTTGTTGAGCAGCTGTTTGGATGTAAGAAGAGCATCGAGTCTGATCACGTGCAGACTCCCGCGGTGCAGTTGCATGGTGTGTCGATCTCTTATAACAAAAAGAAGGTGTTGCTGAAAGATGTGAATTTTGAGCGGCAAGTTCACGAACATTGGGCGTTGCTTGGTCCAAATGGCTCGGGGAAAAGCTCGCTGATGCGTGTGTTGATGCAGACGCCTGGACACGGATTGATGACAGGCAGTGTGATGGTTGCCGGTGAGGATGTTCGTGTTTCTGGCTCGCCCTGTTGTAGCGAAGAAAAGTCAGTAGACTTGAAGCCAAGACTTGAAGCAGTATCGACCGATCAGCACATTCAGCTCCTGCACAAAAGTCTACAGTCAGACCACGAAGAGACTCAGTCTGCATGCAATCTCATTGAAAGAAACGCCGCCAGTCCTGAAGCTGCTGGAATCGCTATGCGCATGCTACTTTTGCCCGATGTTGTGAAGACTCGCCCTCTTTCTCGGCTTTCACAGGGAGAGCAGAAACTCGTGTTGATTGCTCGTGCGCTGGCGGCACGTCCGAAGTTGCTCATACTGGATGAGGTCACGCATGGACTTGACCCATTCAACCGCGCCCACGTGCTGCGTGTGAATTGAAGCTATTGGGCAACATGCTGCCAAGAAGACCCACATGGTGCTCATTACGCACCACGAGGATGAAATCACGCCATGCTTTACAAGCATTTATGAAATCCATGACAAACAGCTTGTGGAGCGTGTTTCCCCATCGTAAACTACATACCGACAACGAGGCTGTAATGCAATGGCCCTGTAGTGATGTGTCATCCCGGGACGACCGGATACCTGGGTGAAAGCATTGCATGGAGATTCAGAAGCTTTTTACCGGACTTTGCCCGGCATCATGTAATAACGACATGTGATTACAAAGTGAGAGCGCTGGCTACAAAGTTCTACTGGAGCAATCGAGAGTGATGACTTTTGCTCATGGGGTGACCGCGTAAAGCAGCCGCATAGACGTACACGGTGCAGCATAACTGAGTTGCAACAAGTTGGAAATCTTTTGTTTTGTCGAGGCGGAATCGCGATAGAGTTGTGAGATCTGCTATTTTCATGCGAATGCTTGCGCTAGATTCGCCTCGATTCGAGGCTATAGCTCGTTCTGCTTCTTCTTCGCTTGATCTGCACATTGCAGATGATCAGCTTGCAGCACCCGATATCCAGTACACACGAGGAGCCTATTTGCTGCAAAACCCCATGACAGTTTGTATGAACAGTTTCTAGTAGGCATCTCAAAAGCGGATTACAAGCAGAAGACACACCTGCACGATCCTCGAAAGCTGGATGGACAAGAAGTGGAGACTTGCTCATTGCTTCATTCATACTAGACCGGTAGCGGAAATGTAACATGGGAAAAAGTGTGTCGGTAACTATATCAGGCAAGCACTGATACCATTACCACGTACAGAGTCCACCACGTAAACCAATTCGTCGTATAGGAGGTACCAGCAAAGACGGAGATAGGCAATAAAACTCTCGACGAGTCCTTGTAAGTCTTACAGAGCACACGGACTAGCTAAAAGACATCAATGCATAAGTATAGCATACAAATGTGACAGTACCTGTCGCGAGTGATCGACTTTCTTTGCCATTAAGTCACCCGTGTCGCCATGAGCAAAGCGAAATGAATATGGGCAGATGTCCAACTTTTTGCAACTCGGTCATGCTGCTCCTTCTGCACCGTGTCCGTCCATGCGCTACTCTCGCTCTGTGCTCTGGATAGGATGAGGTACGAGTGCACTGCACATAGCATGACATTCAGGCGTAATAATGACCTGCGGCACCACAAGACACTTGACCAACAAATGCAGCAGATGCAGACTGCTAAAGGAAGCACATTGGAAACAATACGAAGTGGAAGCTCAAGAATTTCCATGTTGGGAGCGAACGAATGCAGGACTGTAAGTCGCTTCATGCTTACGAAGTGCCGTAGAAAAGGCTGTGCCCGTCAACATCGTTCTGTGAACTGGCAGCAATCGCTTCGCGCAGACGGGAGTAGTGGCGGTTGCGACGACGTTGACGGACCGTCAAGACCGCTCCTAGCACCATCGCAGAGACGGCGCATAAGGAGAAGAGCGGAGACGTCAAGTACGTACTCTCTCCAACCACCACATCAGCCGAGTTGCTGAGCAGCGATTCTGGCTTGACCACGCCACTTCCAAACAGTCCACCATGAGGCACAATGACATCGTCGTGACGAGCACAAGTGGGTGGGCGGCGGCCGCTCGTGCACGTGCATTTTGCTCCCGGCCCTTCCGGACAAAATCCGTAGCCCCCACAGAAAGGTGTGATCGAGCTGTCCGTGATGTAAACTCCCGCCGACAGCCAGCATTGGTCAAGCGTTGGCTCCTCCATCGTTACTCCAGCGCTTGACAACTTCGATGTGTCGCAAACCTTCGCGGTCGTAGATTTACGGGGTTCGGGGAACTCGACGGCATTGCTGTAAGCGTCGGGGTTCGATAGACATCCCTTGTCATTTCCGTTAGCTGCGCAATTGTAAGCGGGAAGTTCGCCAGCAGCAACACAAACAGTAGGATCCAGTGCTTTGTAGAACCCCGCCATATTCGAGTCCATCCACTGAGCACGCGCTAGAACGGCGTCAAGCAAATCAGTCACGGCATCGTCGAAGGTCCCGTTTGTATTCGCGCCGACATTGGCACACTGCAGGTTTTCACTCTTCCACTCGTTACAGTTCTTCAGCTGCCGACGAATCGGCTCGGCACTCGATTGGATGAACAACTGAATGGACTCGTCACTCCACGTGGTCGTGCGTAGCGTCACCCATCGCTGTTGTAAGAGCGATGCAAACTTGTAATTGCACACCAGCCGCTTCCAGAATGTATGACCAGGATACAACCAAGTCGTTTGTCTGCCACCTCGTCCGTAGGCTAGGTTGAAGTCCCAGACAGGACCAGCGTTGATGGGTTGACTGCGGTCTTTAAAGAAGTACGTACTACGACGGTACGCGTCCGAGTTCTCCGACAACTCCGAATGCAAGAAATAGTCGACAAACGAGCCAATGTCAATGTGCTCTGCTAGTCCATCCGGGTCCGTCATGTTGGCGTACAAGTACTGATACAACCGAGGCAGTGGTCCCGTCTCGGGCGACACAAAGTAGTCCCGCATGCTTTGCGTGAGTACATATGGTTCCGGGTACGTTAGAACCGGCCGCGCGCCCGAACCAAAGAGTCCCGTAGCTTCATTTAGCACCATGTTCGGCGAGTAATCGCCGTACCCCAGTGGATTGTTCTGCCACGCCCAGCCTCCCGAGAGTTCGTCATTGGATTGACACGCACTATTCAGCTGTGTCAATGCCACGCGGTTGCGCGTGTACGCGATTTTCTCCAGAGCCACGTAGATGCCACGATACCGTGGACTCCAGTCATCAGCACTCAGTCGGTCCCTCACAAACACGACAACATGACGACTGCGAGGGGAGTAGCGGTCCGTACCACGATACATCCAGTGAGCCAAATGGTTCCGCAAAAGACTCGAGTCAATGGTCGGTCCATTAAGTACGAACGTGCGATCAGCTGGGAAGCCCAACAATGCACCGTCTTCGTGCAGGTCCACTGCAATCTGGTGCTTGGTAAAGTGCAGACTGGACTGGCCTCGGTAGTGGGCACTGGCAGCGTAGACAGAGGTCCGCGGTCCATTGAGACAATTGAGCGTCCCGTTGGGGTTGTCAATGACTTCAATCGAGGCTTCAACAGGATCGGCCATGCAGTCGCGAGCAGGGGCTCGGGGTTGGTTGCATGTCTCAGTGGGTAGCTTGATCTTGGTAGGGGACACGATCACAATCGGGAGCTCGAAACACGCTGCACAAATGTCATAATTGATAGATATTGGTAGATGATGTGGATACTTTTTGTAAGGTTGAGGTTTTTAGAATTGAGGTTATAAAATGTGAAAGGCCTTTTTCGTGTTGGAGTTTGGGTGAGAAAGTACGTACTGGGTTCGTGGGAGGCTACAAGGGGTACGAAATGATTGCTGCTGTGCAATCCGAGGAGCACCATGGCCAGCATCTGCATAGCTGCAGACTTCATGGTGTCTAGTGTAGCCTTGGTGCGCTTGAGTGAGAGGACGTGGCCTGGAAGACTGGAGAAAGACCACGAGGACGAAGCGAGACGTCGCTTGTGTCCTTTGGGTCAAGTTTGAAAGTGAGCTACAATGCTTGGATGGCCAGACGGGTTTTTTGGATCGCGATCGTTTTTGTCTCGTCTCGGATTGGATAAGATCTAGATAAGGGTAACCCTAGTGTACCTCATGAGACCGAATGGGCACATGTGGTAGCTCATGGTGGTACATACTGGACCTTTTTCTCTATTTTTGTGCGTTTGTTTGTGTTTAGACGGTTGTTAGTGATTGCCTATGGTGAAGGGTCGATCCGAATGAGCGGATAGATACATGTGCTACATTGCACGTATCCCACACAACCTCAGCTGGAGACGGAGCGAGGGAGGTGGAGTGTTGTGGACAAATCCGTGATCAGTGCTCAAACTTCGATACGCTTCCATTCCGAGAGTGTCTCATATCACACTTGGGTGTCAGCTGGTTGTCCAATGAATCTGTACTGAAGGAAGTGCGTGCCAAAGGTTTCCAAAGCTGCATTTCCTCTGTCAACATATTAGAATGCACCTTGGTAAATGAGACGATCTTACAGAAAAGCAATTGGCAAAGTGCTGGCCGTGGATCCGACCGACCATGTCAGGAAAAAAGCACGATTGCGTATAACCCGACGAGCATGCAGTGGTCCTACCGGCGACGGATTTGGATCTTCTAAGACCTCGCACCTACTGTCCGCATGTCGATCTTAGGCTTTTCCGACTGCAGATGTGGCACTTTTCCAGTTATGCTGTGTAGCAGCCAACCCGAATACCGACTTTACAGATCGCCAAGATTTCGCCTTTGCTTCATGGACAGTGCTCTGATTCTGACTGATACTGCTTGGGTACGCTCGAGTTCATGATCGCGTCATGAATTTGCAGACAGGCGGGAAGCTGACGGCGTCAGAGGCTGCGGATTGTGTCATAAAACCTCGACATTTCTCAGCCAGTTTCAGGCATTCTTCACTATACGTGATTTATAGGTCACAGTGTTGCTGCTGCTGCCTATTACCGGCAATCTTGGACGACACAACAGAAGGTTTGATGTACTATCTTGACCGACCAGCGATTCCTTCTCCTCATACACAGGAGATGCACATTGCAGGCTCTTCTCTTTGCCGATAGTGCCGCTTGAATGCAGGATTACCCGTCATTACTTGTCGATGTTGGCAGAAAGTTGCAAAAAGATTTTGAAGTTGCGATGTAATTCATAAAGATTGGCGAGAGATGATCGCTAAACAGCACTAAAGAGAAGGTAGATTGTGTCACGCTGTTGAATGATGCAAAGAGAGATACCGGATAGGGTTTGTAAATGAGTCCGTGGTTTGACATCAAATTTGCGAGGCAGTTGCATGCTGGGCGACATCAAGCTAAAGCATTCCATTCGCCTTTCCCCAACGTCAGCTAGAAGGTTTTGATGTGCGGCTGCAAGCTGATTATGCGTCAGACGCACGCTACTGGACGCATAGAGCTGGATTACACTGCGGTTGTAGTTATGAGGCCCCTACAGGCTATTTCAACGGAGCAACTGCAAGAGTCATCGATCTTCTTTAGGAAGCGTCGAATCGTGTCGAGTTTGGTGTTGTGAAGCTCACTTGACCGAGGACCGGTACGCTTGTTCAAGCATAGCTGAGTCTATAAAGGCAGCAGCGTGTTAATAGGTGCGGTCACTCGTACCGCTAATAGCTTCTGGTGAAGACCACCATTCGGTTTCGCCTAGATTATTAGATGGCAAACATGTCCCGATGAGCGCCTGTTGCAGCAGTCCCCTGTGGCCCGATGTAGTGAATCATTACGTTCTACCAGTAGCCATTGAGTTCGCGGCTATATATACCTATCGGTCTTTGTGAGGTTGCGTGTGGCAGATTTACTTTTAGTGTGCATCCTACAATTTGTTCACAAACGGGCAAAGCCAGATGGTGACGTCTTTACTCCGTCCACTAGATTGGCTCCGAATTGTCATTTTCAGCTAATGATGGTTGCATCTTTGCAAGCTTTCTGAATTTATACGTAGCTTGAACCGACGACAGAAGCAACGATCTAGTTTTGATACAGATTGAGTGAAGGTTTCCACAGGTCGGGCCATTGTTTAAGAAACAATTGGGAAATCATTGCTTGGCAACGCTTTGCTCGATCATGCTAATGAACCATTGGCAATGATTGATTTGAGACTCAGACAATGGTCAGCAGCCATTGCAATGGTTATCTAGGACTCCGTACAATGCTTCCGACAAATGAGAATGATTGCTCAAGAGTCTGAACTATGGTAAGAACCATTGGCAATGGTTGCCTGACCATTAAAAAACGATTGACAATGGTTTCAGCTTCATCACTTTGACGATGCAACGCTAGTTCAGTACCTTGGCGATTGTGATAATAACTAGTAACGTCTTGATTCTTCTCTCTCGCTCGTGAAACTTCCCATGTAAAAAGATAAAAAGAAATAGAAGCGAATGGTCTGCCACTCCCACACACTAATATCGCCATTAATTTTTGCTTTGAGGGTTTGTCACCATTGAGGAATACATAATCACGTAAGTTTCATCTTCTGCTCTTCTTTTTGATGAGTCGATGGTTATTACAGACAACGCTAAAACGGAAAAGAATAAAAAGTAGGAAGCCGCTAATCTCCTCTCGGTTCTAGTAAAATGCTCTCAGTAGGATGTTACGCTGCGCGATTGGCTGAAAATAGAGTCGAGTATAGAGTGAACGATGTCACTATCACTTATTCTTAAAAGTCATATATTTGTCGTAATCATGTACAATTGGTATTTTTTGCGCAAAAAAGTCGTGTGGTGTGATGAACGTCTTTGTCGGCGTTCCAGCCACAGGTTGCGATGTACTTGAATCAAAAGATGTGAGTGAGTAGTGAGTAAGTGAGTGAGTCTAAAGTCACCATATCGAACCAAAGCAAGCAAGGAACAGCGTCACTGATGCAATAAATTCGTTAGAATTTGTGAAGAAGATGCAGCCATTGCATGAGGGTGGGTCACAATGCACAACAGAGTGGAAGTTTAATTGAGCCAACACCAACAGCTACAGATCTTTACGATCCGAATTCATCGATCTGAATAAGGCTTTGACTGTATTCCTCAGTACGAGTCTATTGACTTTGCAGGCACTAGCACCCGTGCATTACTGAAATTGATGCTTACTTACACGAGCATGCAGTTTCTTTGGCTTGATTGGAAGCGCCAGCAACTAGATTATCGTAAATTAGCGTTTCATTTGCTGCGGTGCCGTAACGTCTTCGTCACAACAGGGGCATCCGCATGCACGCTTGTCAAAAGCTCCCTGTGCACGGCCATCTTTATGTCCTCCTGCATGCTTTGATGTGGACCTACATTGCACATTAACATGTCCGGAACAGCACAGGTAAATAGGAAGTCATGCAGTAGCGAAAAGGACAAATCATTATAACACGCATTACGTGCACGCTACACGAACGATTTGAATGCGTAGATACAATGAATGATAAAGAAAGCAGCAGTTTTACCACCTACTAGCTCAGAAAACTTTGTGTGAAGGCCTGATGGGGATTGCGAGCTGTTGTAGGGGCGTCGACCTTAGAAATACGATGAGCGGTTGAGAGCGTCTGTGGACATACATAATTCGAGTCCGCAAACGTTTCAGGCAAAGCTTGGTATAATCTTGCACTTAGAAACATCAATAATCAATTTCATGACCTCACGACAATATTCGATCACTTGCAAGTCGTGAGACGTTCTTGTCTTATGACACTACGTAGTGTAGATCCCCTCGAGTCCGTGTAGAAGCACGAGGATCTTCAGGCTTGGATGATAGTGACGTAACTGAAACTCCCATACAATGTCTCCATCCAAGCTATTTAGTTAGTGCCCTCCCCGATACCAAGACAGAATTACTTGAACCGTTCGAATGGGTCATAAGCGGAGCAAAACGATCGTCTTAAACACTTTCAAGTGAACTCTTGTTCTGCTCACACATACCAGTAATCGTGTTGCCACATTCGTATTTCCTGGTAGCCAAATGCGGCCATCATAAGGTCCTTTAAATTACATTGGGTGCACTTGTAACTTGCACAAAACAATCAGAACTGGATCTAGGGATCCCCCGGCCTGTTAATGAGGCGCACGTGTACCCTACGGAAAATGTTGGAGCTAGATCGAGGGGTTCCGGCCCAATTATTCTTGACCGCTAGTAGCTTCATTTCGCGCGCGTCGCACCGCATTGTTTGTTACGGCTTGATCCAATTCACAGTCTGAATAATACCGAGAATCGGTAATGTCTTGCCTTTTGAACCATCAATCCTATAAAAGATGGGCGATGAGGCCGCTTGGCGGAGGACAGCAACTGGACGCCAATCCTACATCAGTTAAGTCAATATCATGTCCGACTTTGGTCGTGATTTGCCGTTGCCCAATCCTCTCGACGATCTACACTTGATCGTAAAGCGATCCATGTGCATTTGATAGCCTTTGGACCTTAGAATTATGATACAAAAAACTACGCTGCTTTCTTGAGCTTGTCTTCCTGATGTACTACAGATCATGCCGTCTATAGAATCAGAGTCTCCCCGTTTTGTTTTAAAAGACGGTCTTGTACGGCCAACGGAGGTGCACTGTTGCAAGCTTAGCGTCAAGAACGATAGTAAGCGAGGGACGGTATTAGACTCTACAAAAGAATCCGTGTTATACATTGATAGGCTGCCTGTTGGACGCTGCATGATGTGTGCAGTAGTTCATCGCTATCGATCAAAGACAAAATGTGTCGGATCATCGAGTTATCAGCTCATATCCCAACCTTTCTCATACCATGACTTTCCGCACCGTCGTTGAGCGACCAACGCGGAATCAGGTGACAAACAGTGATTTGCACTTGTTGTCGTCATTGCTGTTCTTCTACTCATCAAGAAGCTCAACACCGAAGTTATATACCAGTCAACGAAGCTGAATGACGAGTAAGGAAGTACTAATTGGGCGAATGGATGACCCAAGGGCACGAGAATACGCTCCTACTACCAACGAGGATGGATCAGTGCACTGCAAGTGGCGAGCAACTCAATCGTCCGGCCATCGAACACGTAAAAATTGATCAGAAAAACGCAGAGGAAGAGAATGCTTGCCGGTCGTATTGCCGTTACGTCAGGATCGACACTTCCGTAAAGTTGTGAACTCCTTCGAAAACAGATCTGCACGGCGGTTCGGACAGAGTCCACAATGATGGCTACAACACACAGACCTGTACACAGCAGTCTGGATGTAGATTTTTGCAGTCTGGATCTATAAACGGGTGTGGGGGTTCCTTTACCACATGTTACCTACGACGACGATCACATACCCAGCAAAGTAAATGGCACCTCCGTCGGGCGTGCTTTGACTTGACCTTGTCTTCACGCACCTTAAGACACCTAAGATGCAGCTCTTGCTGCAGTAGCTACATTGAAAGCCAAACAACTGACTCGGCATGGCTGACCTTTGCATCGCGCAAAAAGAGCGTATGATGTGCATGTCAAACTGACAACCCTCAATGATTCTAAACATTTGGAAAAGCACGTTACTTCCCACTTCTCACACTGCTCATTGTCACCCAGACAAGGTCATCGTTAGAGCTATAAAGCGCGCAGATGCAACTATCGAGTCCTTTTGCATGTCGTCATGAGTAAGGTTGCTGAGAAAATGCAAAACTGCGAGAAATGATTGCACTTGGTCGTCTCCACCTAACTCGGTTCGTAGGTCCACGTACCGCGAAAGCAGAGCCAGCAGCTCAAATGCATTCCGAATCAAATCCCAGCGAATCCGGTCTCTAACCAATTCTTGCATCACGCCACTGTCGCCACTAGTTCTTGCCTCAAATGTCTCCTGATCCAGCAGCTGTGCCAGGTAATAAAGTATCGACCGATATCCATCAAGGTCACTGGCAAGACCATGAGTACTTTCAAGCACGAAGCGAATCCCTTCGGACGGAAACGATGTGATCATCGACCAAAATACTTTCACAATCTCGTGCTGAAACGCGCGCATATCGCTGGCTTTATCGATAGCAAGATCCTCCTTGTTGCATGACAGCATCTTTGCGCATCGATGAAAGAGCAACGATTTTGTCGAGTCGATCTTCAGTTCAGCAAACACTTCGGGAACTCGTAGCAGTCGGGACAGCAGTCTGAGTGCTTGCGCCTTGACAGTGACGCTACCCTCCGCAGTCATCAAGATGCGTGGGATGCTGTTACTCGCGAACAGCGGTTTAAAGTCTGGCGCCAATGCAGGACAATGGCCAAACCCGAGATCCGCCCAGAAACAGAGTACGCGCAGACCATCTTTCACGACCGCGGACTCCTCCATTTTGCTCTTAATCATCCGGCAAAGTGCACTCATCAGCTTGGAGCGAAGTTCGTTTCGTTCGCAAGTAGCGTTCGTCTCCGAGAGCTCCGACGACTCCTTCTGCAACATAGAAACACGCTCGGATCGAGCTGACAAGTACTCACCCAACAACGAGACCCGCAATCCTGATAACGCTACACGCGGATGCTCCGTACTGCCAGTAAGTCTCTGATCTCCAGTATGCAAAGATACAGTTGCGTCAAAAGGTACTGACGCGGTAAGAAGAAAGCGCTGAAAATGAGCGCAATGGTGCATCACCACGTACATGACCCCCAGCACACTGCACATCAACGGCCATGCAATATCCTTATGAGCCGTGAAGTACTTAATGAATACCGGAGCGAGCGCGACCGCCGACACGTCTCCTTTCAGCATCTTCCCCAAGACATCAACCAGTTCTTTAGCACGATCAGTTGCAACAACTGTTTTCTGCACTGCTTTTGTCGTGTCCATGAGCTCTGTGCTCAGCATTGACGACGCATGAGGAGCTACAGACCTCGTCGTGACCTGCGAAAAGACACTTTGAGAGTACACGACACCAGCAGTCGCACCGCCCGCAGCAGCCCCGTTCGCAGAGTACTGCATCGACTCGTTCAGCGACGAGTTCCCCGATAAATTTGGTAGAAACTGCGTCAACAACGGGCTATTGTCAGAATGATGACTGCATCCTGGTGAAAGCGTCTGCGACGTGCGCTGCTCGTCTCCTGCCTCGTCTCCTGGCCGCTCCCCGACAAGAGCACCATGCAGCAGCGTGAGCAGATCCCGTGACGGTCCCGTCAAGAGACACGACACAAGTTTGGCATTCTGTTCCTTGAGTTGCGTCGTCCTCCTCCAGCTGCCGCTCGTTTCCTCTGCTTCTGGCACCTCGATCTCGGTCTGGATACCGGTATCGACCACTGCCACGCCCGTCTTCACAGCCAGTACTTGCTGCTGCTGCTGCTGAGACAACGGCGTCGTCGTTGTTGACTGACTGGCATCAGGTCTCGTCTCTTGCCTGCGTCGCTTGGTCGCGAGCAGCCGTCGCTCGGCGTCACGTCGCTTGGTCTCGACCAGCTGCTTCTGCTGCAGCTCCTCCACCTCCTTCCTCGTGCGCAGCTTGACGCGCTCGGCCGTCTGCAGCTTCTCGGACACGAAGGCGAGCTGCGACTCGATCGCCTTCACTCGACTCTGCATCGCGCGCTCCTTCTTGTCGCTCTCGAGTCGCGTCTCGGTCTCAAACAGCGCCATGCTCGCGCGCAGATCGAAGTTCTCCTCCTCAGCGTCAGCGAGCTTCGCCCGCAAGATCTGCAGCATACCGGCCGCTTCGCTGCTCTCGCACTGCCCTTGCTGCAGCGCAGGAGCAGGCGCGCTGTCATCGCGCGGCGCGCTCGCCATGCTGCTTCCCAGAGTGCGGACAACCAGTGCGCGGTTGCACTGACCATCACTCTTGCATTCCGCATTCGTGCCATACAAACATCAAGTGAGTGGGAATCGGAGACATTCTGAGTCGACTTGCCCCGTCCGTCACTTTTGCCCCATGGACCTGCCCACCGACGCGATGAAGCCCGAGGCGGACGCGACGACCGCGGCAGTACTCGACGACGGCCTTGCCGTGGCGCCGTCCAGTCTCGACGCCGGCCAGTACACGCACCCGCTCTTTGACGAGTTCTACGACGACTGGAGCTCGTTCGACGCCGCGATCGCGCGCGCCACGGCCGCGCATCATCCGATCCGCAAGCGCTCGTCGCTGACGTTCGAAGTGTACAACCGGACGGTTTCCAAGGGCCGCCACGACCGCAAGAGCATCGCCGACTTCTTGTCCAAGACGTTCAAGTGCACGCACGGCATCAAGTTCCGCTCGCGCGGCAGTGGCAAGCGCATGCGCCACAAATTGCGGGACATTGGCTGCCCTTTCCACGTCTACGCCTCGGCCGTGGAGTTCGGATCGACGTACCGCGTGAAAGTGCGAATGCACGACAAGCACAACCACCCGATTGGACCGGACTCGATGAAGATGATGAGCGGGACGCTGCACGAGTCGGACTACGAGCTGGCGACGACGCAGTCGAGGCCAGTAGAGGAAAGCGCTGTCGACGCAGGAAACGCTGCAGAGAATGTGATACGTACGGACGCAGCAGACGAGGCAGCAGCTCACGCTGCGTGCGAGACCGAGCTGCGGCATCAGATGGCCGACGCTGAGGCGCGAGAAGCGCAGACGCAAGCGCAGGCGGAAGCAGATGCGCGGACTCAGGTGTATACTGAGTACGATGAGGCAGAGGAACTTTTGGACGGGCAGGGAGAGAAGGAGGCTGAAGCAGGTGCAAACGGGACGACCATGACGGACGGGCCGGAGCAGTCTCAGGGACCGACGACAGACGTTGAGTCGCAGCCACCGTCGTCTGATGTAGTCGACGCATCAGATATTTTGAGTGGCAGTGGCCATGATAGTGAGGCGTTACTGGATGGTGCGATGGAAGACGACGACGTGTTTGCAGCTTCAGTTGCAGCTCCGACGATGACAAGTGACGGTGCTGCTGTGGCGGTTTGTAGTACGACGGAAGCTGTGGAGTTTGATGCGGGTCAGACGTCTCCTGCTAAGTTTGAACCGACAATGACGCTTGAAGGGCTACGGAAACGTATTGCAGAGTTTGCAGATGAACGGGACTGGAATCAGGTACGACTGTAGCTGCGTGGCGTTTTATTGCTTTGCTGCTGCTTCTGACCTGGCAAGTCGCTGTTGTGCTGACTTGTGTTTGTTGTACTCTGTTTGACGTTATTGTTTGTGGTAATCACTAGTTTCACACGCCTCGTAATTTGTTGCTGGCGCTTACCGGTGAGGTGGGCGAGTTGTGCGAGATCTTTCAGTGGAAGGGAGAGGTCGAGAATACGGAAGGTGGGAACTCGATGACGTGTGGCGTGGTGTTGATGAAGTTCTAGCTATGGCAACTGACTGGTGTGTTGTTGTTGCCGTCGGTGTTTCGGTACAGATTGGTCTGCTCGAGACAAAGAGCATCTTGGCGAGGAGATTAGCGATGTGTTGATTTATCTCGTGCGACTCGCAGACAAGTGCGATGTCAATCTGCCCGCTGCCTTGAGCGATAAGATCGCCAAGAATGCTCAAAAATATCCTGCCGAATTGGTGCGAGCATGCGCTTGTGTGGGCAGGTTCGGAGTAGTGCTCTGCACAAAGTGGCTGACTGCTTGTGCTTTTCTTTGTGGTGGAAACTGCAGGTCAGAGGATCGTCAAAGAAGTACAATGAGTACAAACGGATGCGTATATCGGAGGAGTCGACATTGTGACAAATAGAGGGGAAGAAATGAAGACAAGTGTTTTGAACGAGAGCGGGTGTTCAATTATAGGTGTGAGCTCCGTCAGCATGAGATCGTCGCTCACCGACCCAGGACCCGCAGTATACAAAGCAGCGAGTACGCCACCCATGAAGGTGCGCAGTGCACCCAGCTCTATTGAGTTTGCATCCAGCTTGTCAAACATCTAATCTCCCACAGGCAAACCACTCAGTGTCGAGCAAGCCACTGCTACATAGTCCTACACGGCAAGAGAGTGCTTCCTGATGTCTTCTTGCAGCAAAGGCAATCGCCACGTCCGAATGCAGTCTCCACAGCACTGTCCAGCTCTGCAACGTTAGCCATTGGTCACTACCGTCTGCTTCGTGCCTACCTAATCTTCCGGTGCGTCGCCGTCCACGAGGCGGTTCTCATTCTCGAGCTTCTCAATCATTTGCAAGAACTCCTTCTCTTCGTTCACACTCACGACCTTGGGCTCCATCTTGACGGACATGGTACCCTTCTTGGCCGTAATGTGCTCCCGCACGCTCTCGATCGCTTCTTGCAGCTTCTGGATTCCCTTCTGCTTGTCCAGCGTGCTAGTCGTCATGACGTACATTGGCGGGGCAATGAGCTTGACTTTGACTGGTACGTCTTCAGTGCCGACATCCTGACCAGCCTGGAGAGCCGACCGGACGGCTTCAATGCCTTCGTACGTAAAGCACGTGACCTCAATGTCCGCACGGACTTTAATAGGCTGCGGGGTGAGTCGACGACGGATCTGTGCCTTGAGTGCCGTCAAGATCTCGGGTGCGACCTCCAGCTCTCCGAAAACAGCGTCGTCCGTGATGCCCATCTTGAAGACGTCAAAGCAGTGGACGTACTCGACCTTCTTCTCGTCGTCGTTCACGGTCTCAATCTTAAACTTCTTGTAGAGCGGCCACGCCACCTGCGCATACAGATCCACAATCTTCAAGTGGTTCTCCTGGGCCACTTGGCGCAGCACGCCGTGCACTGTCTTGGCTTTATTATAGCGCTCTTCGCACTTTGCAATGTCCTCGGGCGACACGCGACGCTTCGACAGGTCAATGTACCCCTTCTCCTTGTCCACACGGAGCACCATCACGACTTCGTTCTTACCGACTCGGATGAGCTTATTAATCGACCGGATACGGCGACGAGAGAGCTCGGACAGCAAGATCATGCCCTCGATGTTATTGTACTCGAGCAGCGACACGTAGGCGCCCATCTCGGCGATCGAGCGCACGTTCACCATGACGAGCTCATCGATCTCGGGGAACTTTTGCTCGTAGAAGCGGCACTGTAAGTGCATGATCTCCTGCGTCTGCGCCTGCGACGACTCTTTGCCGGCCACGGCGGTGGCGACAGCACTAGACGGGGGCTCTGCCATCTTCTTGTCGACTTTTGACGGGAGGATCCGCTCGCTTGCTCGCTCGGGACTTTATCGGGAATGCGACGAGCCTCGCCACCAGACAATGTTTGGACGATGTGGTACACACACATGTACATGGACAAAAAGGGGGCGTGAAGAGAGGGGTACACCACACGTACCCAAGTTGGAGTCACCGAGTTACGACACGGTAAGTGCGTGATCGACTTGTGCGTATATCGGGCTACTGTCACTCAGAATGATGCAAGAGGATGAAATACAAGCGACAACAGGGACGTTATGGATGTTGCACACCTCAAGCTGCACGAAGTTTATGGCCACGCGTCTCAGTCTCTTGTTATCAGTGCGGTTTTCACGGCACCATTGAAAGTCGCAGCAGAGCTAGCCTGCCAGCAGCTTGCCGCTTACACGTTGATTACTCGCGCGAGCTTCTGAATACGGTTCAGCAGCAAGTCGCCCTTCTTGATCGCTTCCTGGTACTGTGCGTTCTTCGCATCGGGACGGTTGGTCTCGATCACACCAGCGACCTTGTCGATCTTGGCATTCAGTCGACCCGCAGCGATAAATCGTGCAAGCTCCGTGTCCAGAAACTCGATGCTGACACCAAAGGCCGCCGCCATCGAGGCAATGGTCACACTACGGTAGGCCTCCAAGAACTGTGCATACGCCAGCACACGCAATTCGCGGTACAAGTAGCGCGAGTGCGTCGACAGGTACTTGTCGCGCAAGATATACGGCTGAATGTCGACCATGGCAGTGAAGAATTTCTTGTAGTTGCAGTCGTAGATTCCGCTCAAAAAGTCCGCGAGGAATGGAATCTCCTTGATCACTGCTAGAATCTTGGGCGAGTCGACAATCTTTTTCTTCAAGTCCACGCGACTCATGCCGAGGACGCACGTGATGACGCAGTAGAACACCATGGTGTTATACGGCATCAACTCCGTTGCCGTGAACGTGGCCACGGACTCTTGAAACAACTTGGACGCCTTTTTCAAGTCACGTGCCATTAACAAGTAGCACCCTTCGTACACTTTCAACCGATTACGTCGGTCCCAGTCCCCGCCTTCATCAATTAACCTGCATCAACAACACACCAGAAAACAACAGGTCAAAGTTAGAGATGCCAGAATTCAGCCATCCCCCTCTAGACACCTCTAGTCGTATTCCAAATTTCAGACAAACGTCCGACCCCAAAAAACCCAAAAAAGCATCCACGTACACAGTGGCTTTTTTGATATTCTTTTCGACCAACTCCAGGTCCGAGAAGAACAGCCCAATGCGAATGACATGCAGCGTCACGAGGATCTTCTGATTGATCGACTGGGGCTTCTCACTGGCCACTGCAAAGGCCTCGAGTGCCTTGTCTTTGTCCCCAATCCTCGAAAACAGACGCGCTTTGGCCAATAGCGCTTCGAGCACCTCAATGTCGCCCAGATTCTGTTCCGCATCGGCCAGCTGGTCGTTCAATTGCGCCAGTTCCTGCGCGTTCTTGTCACGCATAGCAGCCTCGAGCGTCGCGTTGATTGGCCACTGGAACGTGTCACAGACGAGGCGATAAAACGGCGCCATGTCGTGTTGCTGAATAAGGTCCAGCAGTTGCTGCTTGACAGTCTCGTCCGTCGCGTGCGTCGCGTGCGTCGCGTGCTGCAATAAGAAGAGCAACTGGCTCAGCTGCATGTTCGGCAGCGTGCTGAGGTCGTCCTCGATCTCCTCGGAGATGTTGCCCACGCTCGTGGGTTTCTTGGACGTCATCGCGGGGGATACGAGCTTAACGGGGGAGGAGGAGGATAAAGTCGCTTGGATTAAACTATCGCGAAGACCATGGAGGATCCAGGAGCTCCCTTTTCAAAGCGATGAAGAGGGATACATCATGTTGAGGAGGGTTTGGTCGGGGATGCGGTGACTAGAGGTACAGAGATGGGTACTTTTGGAGGCGTGACGCGTGATGTAAAAAATGACATCAGCGAAAAAAGGGCACGAAAAAAAGTGCTGTACATTAACTTGCAGTCGTCTTGATGGTGATGCTCGGTTCTACACCTTGCAAACAAAGTAGCTGCTTATCATGCAGCGCAGAGCAACTGCGGTCTGGTACTGCGACAATGGACTGCTGTAGCTGCGGTTCATTTCACCTGGTTGGCTGGCGCGTAGAGCACATACACAGCGCCAAACTGCTCTCTCGGTGGACCAAGCGGTACTCCTGTCTCCGCATCAAGACGGCTTTCAATCTGTTTGAGCTGCTCGAGCGTCTGGTCTTTTAAATGATACGCTTGGCCAAACTTGATCGTGACCTTGACCTTGTGACCCTTGTTCAAAAACCGCTTGAGCTGCTCGACCTTCATCGTCAAGTCGTTTGGCTACATGGAAAAAAAAGGACGAGCACCCCCACACATCAACAAATGACATCAGTGTTCTACCACAACAGCCTCCACCATAAAAACCGTGCAGCCCAACAGCTTGCAGCATTGACGACGTACAGCAATCTTTGCACCAATGGCGACCTCCTTGTCCGGCTTGGGCTTTTGCTGCTTGAACGCCTTCTTGTTGGCCTTCTTGAGCTCATACAGCCGCTTCTTTGCGTCAAAGAGTCGACAAACCGCCGGATACTTGCCCACCGAGGACACCTGCACGAGGTCCACGCCCTGGCTCTGTGCGTCCGCAAGCGCTTGACGTAGAGGAATGTCCGTGCGCTGCGTCCCGTCGTCTTCGATAATATTAACCACCCGCGCGGTAATGCGCTCGTTCGTCAGGCCCCACTTGGACTCGGCAGACGCAAAGCTACGGAGACGAAGCCAGTGAGGACCGTACGCTAGTGACTGCGGCCACGGCGCTGCGTGCGCTACAACACGGACGCATTGCCGCATCCAGGAGGGCATCGTCAGGAGCTACGGTCTCAATGATTGATTAGCAGCGAGGAGCTCCGCTGCTTGTTGATTGGTGGAATTTACCACAAGCTTAAAAAACCGCAACTCGATCGTTAAGTAGCCAATCCGTGCGCAGGAACTCTCATACTTGATCCGACGACTTAAGAGCATTTGTGCAGGTTTCTCTAAACTTATTTGACCTCCTCGATGCTCTTTGTGCCGGAGGATGCGGCGTGCTCGTCCTATCGCGGCTACGTGCGCGTCCAGAGGCGCGAATTTGCCGTTCGCGTGTCGCATGTCACACACGATGCAAGTACGCATCATGTCGTGCTGCAAGACGCGCAATTGGACGTCGACTGTGCACTCGCAGCGCGTTTGAAGCCTCACAGGGCGACGCTTAAGTTACGATTGGCTCAGGCGTCGTCATTAGCCGGTTTTGCCGTCGAATTCGAGGAAATTGTAGCCATTTGTTGTCGAAAAAATCTCGATCGTCCAGTGGAGCTACCAAGTGCCAAGTATTACGCGCGATTATTGGCGGAACTTGAAGTGGTGGGCTGGCAATGTTTACGTCAACTTACTGACGACTTGCGATCAGTGGAGCTCGAGATCAAGGACCAGAGAGGACGCAATCATGTGATTCGAGTACTGCTGCCATTGCAGTATGATGCTGAAGGATTTGGAGGGAAGCCCGAGTGTCTAGTGGATGCTCCGGAGCCTCTGGAACTCCAGTGGCCACCAGATTGTACCAAGTATTTATCAGGAGTGCTCCTGGAAGTTGTGTTGAAGCAGTTTGAGCTCTTTCTGGACAAGTTTCAAGCGTTCTGGGATGTGCTGGATGCACTGGATGCTGCAACGTGTGTGCTGGAGCCGCACCGTCCAACAAGAGCTACTGGACGACGAAGAGTGGCTCTTGATCGACGGGCTTCGGTGCAGTTTGAAGTAGACCCTTTGTGTCCCGCGGCGATGCCAAGAGAGCTTAGTTTCTTTGGAAACCAAGTGAGTGTTGGCGCACTGCGTGAGCTCTGGGGCAGCAGTGCATGGAGTCGATGGGACGAGTCGAGATCGATGCAGGCAAACTTGGAGGACGTCCTGAATATAAAGCTACCATCGCCAACGACAACACAACTCGAGGAACTTGCAGCGGAGTGTGGAATATGCTATGCCTATCGTTTGGGGGATGGTGAGGACGAGACCAACGCTAAACCCGAGCGAGGTCCCGGAGCTCTGCCGATGCAAAGTGAGTCGAAACAGGAACGAGGTTCTTGTCTTCCAGACCGACTGTGTGAAAACGTCAAGTGCAACCGCCCGTTTCACGCCAAGTGCCTCTATGACTGGTTGCGAGCGCTGCCCACTTCACGTCAGTCTTTCCATACTGTTTTTGGTGAGTGCCCCTACTGCCGAGACGCGATCAGTGCCAAGTTGGAGCCGGATTTTTAGACTCAACAGAGGCTGCTACAACAGGGACGGCGCTGACTTATGAGCGACCTGACCTGCCGGCTGGCTCCGACACATGCTGGACTTGTTCAACCCTGTATATTTTCTCAGCTTCAAGGCGGGCTGTGCACACTACAGCTTAGTCTACAGTCCGACCTGCTTGAAACACGACGACTTCAGCAGACTTGCTTCCACGCACCGATTCACTCCAAGCTGCCGGTCATCTGCTCCTCACGCACGATGTTTATGGAGCCGTCGGCGTTGACACGTATACGCTTGGACGGTTTGCCAGTGTCAATGTCTCATTCTTGCCGCGACGACGCTGGGTTCCTGCTGACTCGTCGCTGCGTCTGCTCTCGCGAGAATCCCCCCCATACGGATGAGCTCGCGAGCGACCGCGATCTCGTCGTGATGATGACGCGTTGTTGCGGCCGTTGCGAGGGTGCATGCTACCAGAATCATGGCGCCGACTGCTGCGGGAGTGGTACATACCTTTCTTGGGGATCTTTTCAGGCGGGAAATCCTCGTCGGTTGCCTTACGCAAGAGTACTCGCCAATTCTTGTCGCGAGGTTGAGTCTTGCTGCCGATTGTCTTGTTGCCCATATACCACTGCGAGCGGTTAAAGGCAACATCCGGAACCTCGACTTCCTCTTCATCGTCATTCATTGCCGTAATAGGATCAACATCAGCTTGTGGCTCGGCATCCTCCATGTCGACATCTTCCCCGGACGCCAGTATACCTTCAGCCTTTGTTTTCTCCTTCTTTTGCTTACGAGTCTGCGGTGGAATTTGATGGCCGAGAGCAATCAGCGCTCTAGCCGAGGTGAAACTGTCTTGGAAGACTATAGTGCATGAGCTGTCATTCAGCCACTCCACGTATGCTGGACCGTAGCCCACGAAGTACTCCATCACGTCGCTTGTACGAACTTGTTGGAAATTCTCATCCAACGAATACATATGCAGCGCATCATCACGAAATGCCACCTCTTGTTCTTCTGCGTCAGCAGCCTGTACATCGCAGCGCTCACGATCCACCTTGGCAGACGCAGGATGTAGCGCAGTCGAAACCACTTGTGAATGATCTTCTTCAGCAGAAAGTCCGTACTTCTGCGCACGAGCACGCAATTTATCCTGGTCACGCTGCTTCTGAACCCACTCGTCCTGAGTCAGTCCTTGCTCGAGCGCCTTTGCCGTCTCAGCCGAGTATTCCACTGCAAACTGCGGTGTATCAAAGCGCTTCATGCGCTGCTCTCGTTTACCCTGTTCTTTCTCACTGGTGATGTCAATACCTGTCGAAAAGCCGGGTACCACCGCACCAGTTCGCTGGAGCTTTCTCACATCTCGTGGATCCAAGACCGTCTTGATATCTGGCGGTATGAACGGAGTTCCAAAACGATCCGCTCGTCGCTTCGACGCTTCATAATCCACCTCAAACTTCTGTCGCTGCTCCGCTGTCAGCAAATCCTCTTTGCCCAGCGGATCAGCTCGCACCATGATTCTTGGAGGAGCAAAAGTCGACACGTCTGCAGCTGCAAGGAACTCTTTCTGTCCCTCATAGACTCCGTGGACCTGGATACCACGCAGGGACACGGGCGAGTCCCACGACGTGAATGCTGCCAGCTTCACAGGGATAAAATCTGGGTCCTGACACGTCGCGAGGACGTCCTGGCCCACCTGAGCACCCGCACCAACAGCCAGCGATCCACTCTTCATGTCTACAACGACCCAATAAGCCACAAAGTCCTGCGCCGAGCAGGTACGACCTGTAAACACCCGAGCGAGATCCACTTCCTTGCTGCGTCCAGATGCCGATTTTCGCCACACAACTTCGGTATTTCCACTTATGCCAATTGCTACTTCATACGTCCAGTCCGTGCGTGAGTTCTGGCTCTCTTCTACTCTTGTACCAGCCTCTGGGGTCTTCATAGCGACGTCAGGAAGCGAAGCAAATCCGACACGAAGGTCTTCACGCGTTGAGCCTTCAAACTGGATCACTAGAGCACATAGAGAAGCATGAGATGGATCAACCGAAGCGTCTTGGATGGGCGAGTCAGATGAGACTATAGTAGCAGGGAGCCAGTGGCGGTAGCGTCCGTATAACGCGCCCAACTGGAGCTCCGAGCGTGATGACGCGTCCGAGTCCATGATCAAGCGATTGTGTCAAATAAAAAAAGAATACCGGCGGTGAAGATCGAGTGGTCCACATAATACCGACACACACAATCGAGTCTCCAAAAAAACACACCCACGCGTACATTCCGTGCAGCTTCAGACACGGGTGATTCAAACCCACCCACCCACCCAGTCGTCTGCATCCCACGCTCCACCCATTATTATTGTCCGCAATAATTCCGTAACATGGCGGATACTCAACTCCAGGATGCCGTCACCAAGATGGTGGACCGCCTCGACCGCAATTTTCTGCGCGCTTTGCAGCGGGATGGATACTTATGTGCAGCCAAGGTATTCGAGAACACAGAGTGGTCATCGGAGCAACTCACTGCGGCCGTCGAGCGTTGCCAGCGGCCGACGCAGCAGCTCAATCAGTTTATGCAGCAGGAGATGCAGAACTTCCAGAACCGCGTGCAGCGCTGTGCACAGGAGTGTCAGGACAAGGCTCAGGACTCGTTGCCGTCCAGTGGGAACCCCAGTGAAGCGCAAATTGCACGTGCCCAGAAAGACATGGAAAAGTGCGTGAGTCGCTGTGTTGACACGCACGTGGGGTTGCTGCCCAAAATAAGCGCCCGGATCGAGCAGGCTGTGACCCAAATTAAGGAGCAGGCGCAATAACGTGTGCGGGTTTTATGTACAGTCAGTCGGTCGGTCGCTATGGAATATTGTAGCGAAGGAGTAAGTGGGGGTTGGAGAGCTTGTTGTAGCGGCTGTATCACGAAGGATGACTACTGGGGGGTAAGCACTAAATGCTGCTTCATATTAACTACTGTGCTCCTTGGCGTGCACTCTGCTTTCTTCTTCATAGCTTACAATAGTCGGTGACTGTGTCGTGTGCGGGGATGTGCTACAGCATCGTGAGCTCTCGACCTCGTTCTTCCAACTTGACATCTTCAACGATGATTGCGGCATGACTGCTGGGGCCTAGAGTCACAGGTTGACGTGTACTAGCAAAGCTGCTCTCGCTTGTATCACCGTTCGCCGCGTGCTTGTTCATTTTCCTAGCCTCTAGCTTGGCGCGCTGCTCTTGACGTCGACGCAGCATCCAATCGTACGTGCCGTAGCCCAATACCATGAGCCATAGGTGGAACCCCACCAGCACGAAGTACATGAACATGCACGGGACCGAGATCACCGAACACAGAACGAAGCAGCATTTCGCCAAGTAGCCAAACACATCTGCATTCTTCATTGGGTGGGCGTGCAGCCACAATAGACACAGGATTGCGTACGCCACCTGCAGTACAAATTGTACTGTGCCCGTGCACGCCACTGTGAAGAACTGGACGTAGTTGGCTTTGCCAATGCAAGTCTGGAGCCACGTGCAGTGGTGGTCCATTCCAGGCACGGTCTTTCGACATAAGGCGCAGTACCGAGTTTTCTCCCATCTTGGTCCACTAAGTCGTACACACCACCAGCCATTCTTTTGGTTGACTGCATCGTTCCTGTGTGCAGCCGGGTCAATAGTCTCGCAAAACCTCCAGGAGGCCACGAGAATGGTCGAGTTGACAACGTGCACTGCAACTGCTAGGAACGTCTATCATAGAACAAAAACAGGACAAAAAGGTATATCAGTCAGTCACTCGCTGGATCGACACCACCTTTTGACACGAACCCCTCCGTACCCATACAGTGACCGTACTGCTGCTTGTGTCTGTATTGTCCAGACTTTCTTGACCAGTGCAATGAACGGAGATACTCATGGCTCCAATAAAGAAGCACAAGGCCGAAACCGAGTGCCCGATCCAGGAGATCACCTGATCTCGCGAAAAAGGCCGCTCAAAGCCATTGTGGCGTGGACGGACCAGCTCAGTGTTCGGTGATCCATTAGAGCTACTGGTTCGTGGCGAGCGATTCGTTGTCACAGAACAGGGAGACGAAGACACTTGACTTGGCAGCGTCAGTGTCCGGGTCATTATCGCTCGGACCAGCAATTAATTGCACCCTGTTGTGATTGAACCTATTGTGGCGTTTCGCGAAATGTATATAAAATCAAGTGATTTACGGACTGGTTTCCCGAATGACAATACCTGACCTGGAGATTCGAAACCTTGGAACTGATCCAGGATTCTCTTATAGAAAATGTTATGACTGGTGAAGGGTCGCGAAAACGCAATAAGCATGCGAAGAATTCAGTTCCGACAGCATGATCGAGCATCAAATATCCTTGAATGACAGCATTTTTCGCCGAGTTGGCACGGTTGTAGTGTCGTCTTGTGTCAGTGTATCGGCTTAGCAGATCCGAGCCAAACACGTCATACAAAAAGCTAAGGAGCACAGCGCAGCGTCGATAAAGTAGCGACTAAAACAACGATAGAAACAGCGCAGATCCCTCATTGTCAATAGGAATTGTTGTGAGAGATTGGCTCTCGTCTTTTTGTATAACGAAGCGACTATTGCTGATTCCATTTCTACTTGGAGATGTGAGCCATTTTTTATTCATATTTCTCGTACCATTTGTGACGAGTGCCCCAATCTACAATAGTTAGTCGTTCACTAGATAAAGTCTTAGTCTCATTGCACCTTCGGATGATTTTTCCATTCGAGTTACTGGTGCAGCGGTCTTCTTGTTATCCTTTTGCCGGATGCCCTTTCTTCTGTGGTCTCGTGAACAACCACATTCAGCTCAAGCACAATGCCCGTGTCATAAGTGCAAGTTTTTACTTTTCATGAAGCCAGGCAGATGCCAAAAGGTAGTAGCTGGAACGCGATTTTCAATCAATGAGCATAAGACCGTATCGTCTTCTCATCAGAATGTCCTCATGATGGTCACAGCGCGATAACGACCATCGGCCTCATGACTTCATCTTCATAACTTTTGGCTCATCCTGGCTAGTAGAAGCTTTCAAAAAAGGTTCATGTGATCGCTGCTGAGAAGAGTGGTCGACTTCCCGGACTTCGTCACACTATCACGTAAGAGTTGTCCGGACAATATCTCGACTGGCGCGCTATTGCACACTGAGACGACGTCTAGGGTGGAGTGTGTATTGCTCCTATTCCGTTCGCTCACATTTAAACCTTGAAGCTGGGATGGTTTTACAGCACTAGCTAGAATATTAGGCAAAGCTTTTGTCACCAATGCATTTTACTAACAGGAACCCTCGATTATAACGAGAAAAGTGGTCATCTTCGACGCTGACAGCATCAATTTAAGCTGTTATGTGGTATCATGATAAAGCCTTGGCAGTACATTTGCTGTTACAGTAAAGGCGTCTTTGAATAGAAACGTAGTTGCTTGACATACAATATCGGAGCGATGCGTTCGTCCTGTAGGCAGAGTTTCAAACACGCAACAACAACGTCTTCAACATTTTTCTCATTGACATTATGAAACCAATACGAAGACGTTCACTCACGACTCTACTTACTTCATCTCACTTCATTCACATTTTGCAGCGAGTAAACACTTTCCTTCCCAGCGCTTTTTGTAGTACAAGTTGATCCGTCGCCCCTCGTCACGCATACGCATCCATTCACTCCGCTTTTTCTCAGAAAGACCTGGCAAAAGATCATGTTGCATATCGTGATCCTTGTTGGCATCGTGCAGCAGTATCGAGTCAGTGACTCGATCATACCGTAGACGTTCATGCCCACGCACCACGGACATTTTCCGTCCAGGATCGTTACTGTACACAGACCGCTGGCCAAATTCGACCTTGCGCTTGAGCGAACGGCCCACGCCATCTTGATCAAAACCACCTTCCGGTACACCAACGATATCCGCCAGCGTGTTGAGGATATCGTACTGCTCGGTCGCGTCATCCAAGACCATACCCGCATCTTTACCCAGTCGCCCTTCAGCAACAATTGCCCCAGCCACGCGCGTGACAGACACTTCCCGGTTCTGAGGGGTATCGTTACCGAATTCCGGAGCCTGGCCGTGGTCACCCGAAATAACGACGATAGTATTGTTGAGAATGCCTGCTTCAGCCATCCGGTCCATGAACTTGCCAAACTCCAGATCGGTGAAGTACCGGATTTCAAGGTACTTCTTTATGTTAGCCGCGTACTTGTGGCCTTTGTACAAAGGCGAAAAGTCGGGCTTCTTGGACCGGTCATACCATTTCGGTCGCGCCAGATAGTTGACATGGCTGGAGATGGTGTAGTGCGTCAGGAACAGCGGCTTCTTACTTTTGCCGTGGGCCACGCGCGCAGCTTGCAATTTTGTCTCGTTTATCATCAGATCCCCGAGTATCTGAAAGCTCAGGTCGTCATGTACGCCCCATCCGAACCCACGATGCTCCTGACCCTTCCAGTCGCCGCGTTTGATACCATAGTCCTTTTCTGCGATCTTCATGAACTGGTCACGACTCCACACCGTTTCGAACCCATGATGAGGAAGAAAAGTGTTCCAGCCGTCGTAGTTAGTTTGACAACCAGTGGTAAAAAAGGTCTCGTATCCCTTTGCGGAAAAGAGCTGAGGCAAACCAGATAGGTTGGTTTGGAGTTGGCCTCCGGTCATCCCGGACTTCGAGATATGATCGTAAGGAAGCTGTCCGAACAACAAACTCTCCACCGATCGACTCGTGCGCCAGCTCGACCAGTAATTCGTTAACGCAATGCCTCGCTGTGCCCATCGGTCAAAATTTGGAGTGATTGTAATGTTCGTGCCATTGAACAAGCTGGAAGGGTCGTGCGTGTCAACGAGATAACGCGAGTCGTGAAACCGGAAGGACTCAATCACAATCAGAAGGACGTTTGGAGGATCTTTCGCACTGACATTGACGTCAAAAGCCAGGTCTCCTTTGAACCCGGTCGTGCGTCGATACAACGTGTCGTCTCCGTACAACTTGTGCTCTTCAGTTGCACGGTGGATAAACGTCTCAACCCAGGGTAAGTTCCCGTCACTAAGCAGAGAATAATCCCCGTTCAGTGCCGGCTGCAGCGTACGTCCAAGCATTTCATTCAGTGTCGTGTTCAGCGCCAAGTACGCTACGAGAGGCGAACACGCGGAGCTCACAGCAACAACGACAATGGGAATCAACACCAAGCCAATGAGCGCGACAAGCGTCTGCTTGAACGTCTGGCATTTCTCAGCTCCCTTTGACTGGGGCTTGTCCACTGACAGAATCTGCGCCGTGTCATCGTCCACCACCACAGTCTCCTCAACGTCTGAGCTATCACTGTCGTCATCGATCTTCACCGTCACATACCGAGTCGGATTGCTACCGTCTCTTTCGTTGGTCAGATCAGCTTCAGTCACCTTTGTTGCATCAACCAGCACAGTCGTATCGGTAGTGTCTTCGCTATTCCCAGCATCCTGAAGTTGATCCGTCGTACCTCTAGTCGAGCTCAAGCTATCGTAAGCGTGTGAAGTACCAAAAGACAATGGCATCCGCGTCGGGTTCCACCTCGCCAGATCTGCCCACGATTCGTGGGTCCGCACAAGAGCAAAACACGACGCCGCTACTACGATCACCGTCGCGTTCATATACGCGTCTCTCAGCTGTTCAGGCGAGACGTCAAACGAGCTGACATTGTCCTTCTCTTGAATAGCCATCACAATGAGGTCAAAGGTGAAGCGAATGTCGCGCAGACGCACGGCCACGACGTCCGCAACCACCGGCAACATCGTCGCCATGAAAAGGATCCAGGACATGGTGAACGTAGCCATCTTGCTTATCACTCGGGTCATCGTGCCTTCCTTGCAACAACCAAAGTACTTGACAACGGCATTTATGAAGCTGTCAAAGGCCCACAAGAGGCAGACAAAGTACGTGATGCAGACGAAATCCTGTAGGAAGCCAAGCAGCAGAGCTCCCAGCACGACCCCTAGGGTCTTGTCGTTAGCATTAGCGTACATGGCGATCAGCGCATTGAGCGCCGAGCACCTGTAGACAAAGAGGAAGACGACTGAGTAGACATAGACGAAAGCCCATCCGAGCCACGGGTAGTCCAGCTCCGCTCTTGCTCGAAACAATCCCCCGCTGCTCAACATCTTGGACATCAGACTGGGCGTCACTGTACGTTCAACTTGAGCGGTAGCACTCGTGGCTTTCGGGATGGTACTTTGAAGTCGGTCAAGCTCTGGCTTGTCCGGAGAGAAGAGGCGGTGCACCATCTTTGGTCTCAGTGCTCGCTCGACTGCGGGCGGGTGCGCCCGGGTAGGCGAATGCAAAACTGACGAGACGCGAGGGTGTGGGGGCGTGACTCATCCCCCATGAGGTGGTGAGACTTTGTGGATGGCACAAGGATGAGGATGGGGAGACAGATGGGAGGTGGAACCGGGACAATTGACGCTACGCACGACACGGTCATTGGCTCAGTCTAAGACAAGTGCCTCGTGTTGTTGTTGTGTATAGCACGTGGTGCTTCGAACGGGATTCGGAACCTGAAGAGAGTCAGCAGCTCATGTAGATCGAGCGATTGCTGCCTGACTGGCTCTGAATGAATGATCAGGTTGCTCGTCAATGAACAGGTTGTTCTTGCGTGGGTGAATAACCTCGACCGACTTCGTCTGGTTAGTGACGGGCTTCGAGAGGTTCTGATCGATCGACGTGGCAGTTTTTTTTTCAGGTTTTGTCCACGTCTCGGCTGGTCCGTCCGTTCGTGGAAGAAGAGCAGAAGGATGAGCGAACCGATCAGACCGAACGTGTTGGCGATACCTGAATGGATTGATAAGCGAGCTCTGGTTCTTTTGTCGCTGGTCGTGTTGCGTTGGCCAAGTGCGACATCGAAACAGGGTGAACGACCTTAGACGGTGGGGCTTGTCGGCTGCTGACACTCTATCGGAGGCAAGATGGTGCCCCTTCGAGCCTCGGAAGTGTCTCAGTCACCGACCGAAGGTCGTGCACTGCTGCTTGCTGTGACGGTATCAAGTACGATCCAGTCGTGCCACTAGAATCGAGAGTGGACACATCACGAGCTCTGGGCAAAGCGTACGTGGAGAAGTGCATGTCCTTCTTGTCTCGGTCTGCCAAGCAGTGAATCTGCAAGTTATGGGCGACATCATGAGTTCCGCCGAGGGCTTGTTGAGACGCCATAAGCAGAGGTTGCTGCTACCAAATCAGCGGCGCCTTGATCGCGACAAAGCTGCGACATCGAGCAGACCGTTCGTTACGATCAGCCGGACGAGCCAGACGCAGAGTCAGTCGCAACGAGTGTCGACACGATCCGTGCAGATGTGATCAGCTACGTCAGCCGACGCGATGACATATGATCATTTGTAGCACCAACACGACGACAAGTGGTCGTTTGTAGCACGAACGAACGTGGGGATTTTTTCGCCGTGGCTTTGAGCACATCACACAAAGAACCAGAACGACGAGAGATTGACGCTGTTACCACGCGTGACACGCGGTGCCTGACGTCTAGATACGACAGGAACATGTCCCCTTAACATTATCAAAGATCCGTTGCGTGCATGCAATATTCGGCTTTCAGACAGAGTCTACAAGGAATCGTTGAAGCCGAGGCCGCCCGAACACTATACTAGAAGCATCATCTATGAAACTAGCAATCGTCTACCGATGGACGACATGCCACCTCGGTCGTTCGTGCTACGACTCAGTCTCGTTATTGTTTGTGCTTCATTCAGCACGCGATTGAGCGGCTCTTCCAGTCAGTGTGAACAGCCATACAAACTGGCTAAGAGAGGAGAGGAGAGAGAGAGAGGAATTAGAGGAGAGACTAACCATTTGGATGTGGTCGACTGGTTGGTTGTACGTAGCCCCCCCCCCACAATGGATGTTAGGTCATAAGCTCTGTGGGTTTTGCATCCAGTCTTCCCTCTGATGAGCTTGCCCCCGATAAGCTTTAATCGCTAGTGGGTTATCGATTTCCGCGCTCACGGACCTCGTATTATGGCCACTAAGTTATAAGTTTTAAGTTGTGATCAAATAGGGCAATGTAACCTAAAAAATGAGCTTTTGCTTTCGTATTATTGAAGATGAGAACTACTTGAACCACATGTCGAGGGTGGTTTGGGTGGTGCAAGTGTTGCGAAGATCAAGCTGGAGGTTGCGAAGGACTTTACAAGCAGCTTGGTGACGTTTCTGGAATACGTCGAGCCGGGAGAAGGCATCACGAAGGAGGTTAACCTTCTCGGTTCTGGTAAATTTTCTGCGACAGATGCCACACCTTCACTATTTTCCTCCTCCTCGTCTGCCTCCAAAACCTCTTTTAGAATCTCGAAGTCGATAAGCGCAGGCCAAGCAGTCTCACCCTTTTCGATGGGATCGAGAAGCTTCGAAATCTGCCTGGATTCTCGGACACGCAGGTTATTGTGCTGTGCTATCTGGTCTTGCTCCAGCTCACCTTCTTCCTTCTCGACCTCCGTTGCGCCATCTTTACTCCTTTCCACATCTACTGCACTTGAAATGACCGAGTCAGTAGAAAAAGCCCCGTGTGGCTGAAGCAGTTGGAAATGGTAGTGCTTGAAATCTCGTTCCAGGCATCTACCGACCAGCGCGTGGCAGTAAGTTGGTCGGCTTTGTAGATGTTAAAACCCTACCTACGCTCGCCACAGTCGATCGCATTCTGCAGATGGTAACGGCGATATCGCCGCTTGAACTCTGCGATGACACCAGCGTCCATCGGCTTAATCATGGAGGTCGTATGTAGTGGAAGCAGCTAAACCTTGACGTTAGTTAACGTAAAGTCAATTCGTCATATGTGACGGAGGATTGTCAATCAACAGAAGGATATTTCCACTTTTGATCTGGAACTATACAATATCAGAATAATAAATTTTCGAATTTTATATGGCTACGCACCCACATCGTGTTGTCTAGATTTGCAAGCCATTTCTGGAAGAACGCGCCCGTCATCCAAGCCTTTGTGCTGTTGCGATAGAGAAATCCATGTGCTTGACCTGATTTCTTGTCAAGTAACTGAGCTTCTTGACTTTCCCGATAAAGAAATGCTGTAGCTTGTCAATCCCATCAGCATTTGCAGTGAGCGCAATTGCAATCCGCGACTGCACAGGATGTCAGAGCATGCCCCTGTGTCAGTATATGTCAACAAGCATTCTGCAATATACTCACCTTGTCTTTTTGTGTCCTCCAATTTCTTGCTGTGCAATAGTCCTGTCAGGTGTCACGCTGTGAGATAGTCCTGCAAATTAGAATGTCAGACTCTTTTCCAATTAGAATCATAACAAACAAAATTTATCGGCTTCATCCATGCTGTAAACATCACACAGCGCGTACCTGCGATGGCCTTCTTTTACATCAGGCAGAGCTTTATCCATAGCATCCACGTCCACCGAGCCGCTTTCACCTTATTTGTTGATAGCACGGACCATGTGACGTTGCTGGAATTTATGAAGCCATCCGTGCGAGATAATGATAGCGTCATCAGGAGTACTGTAACAGGGTAGACCTTTACATGAAATTGACACTAAACGGTGTCCATAGGAATATTGTCTAGCATGACAATATTCTACCAATATTCTCCGAGATAGATAATATTGAAGAAATTCTATTCCCTTTTTAGGATAAAATTCATGTGCTGCTCCAAGATTGGCTAAAAGACATATCAACCATAGATTACCACCAATCGTTGCTAGACGCGCGCAATGAGTGGTGAGCAGGTTGTCGTCATACGACGACGAAGTTTGATATCGTTCGATAAAGATTAAAGTCATATTGATGGATTAACTATGTTAAATACAGTTCTCTTTTACCCTATTCTCAGCTTAGTCGTTCAAGTAGATTAGCTTCCTCTGCACGTAATAGTGTACGTGAAGTTTCGCGGCACTTTAAACAAAGGGCACCCCGTTACAAGTACCAAACAATTGAGCAAGCCGATGTGCCTTCGCACAGATGATATCCCGGTGATAGTCTCTTCGCGTTGTTTACGTTGCAGGACCTAAAGAGACGCAGCTTCTTTCGGTACGGGATGTTGAACCAGTCGCTGTCGCTCTGCATTTAGGCCACTTGGATCCATATTCTCCATATTAGACCACTTTTGAAAGATCTTGCTGATTGGTGCCTGTGACAGAGTTTTGACAAGGCCAAACTCCACCGTAGCCCATTTTGCCAATGCCGTTTGAGATAAATCTGGGTTCTCACCCTTGTGTTTGCATATTTGCAGACGTTGTTCATTGGTAAGACAAATCTGCGACATTTCATACTGCTCAGATATCACACCAACAGGCAAGACTAGGCTAAAAATGTATAAATGTGGCTTTTCCTGTGTAGTAATTGTTAGCTCAGAAGAACGAAGCTATGGGTGCGTTTCATACTGTTGGGAAGGTAGCAAACTAGTCAGGAGCCCGAGACTTTTTCTTGTTTTGGGCAGTGAAAGCCCCAGGGATGGATTTCGGCTTGTATTTGAGGGAAGTAAAGGTTGGTTTGGGGGTCCAGATCCGCTTTTTGATCACTCAATTGATTGATTCTCCTTTTGTAAGATACACAAAAAGCAAAAAGTACTGGAGAAATAACACAGAATAGGACACTTTTTACTGGAATTCGTTGAATAGAACACTATTTTGTTATTCATAAGATAGGACACTTTTTGTCTTTTTGGTCTGAGCCTCACGAGCGACGCAAGGAAGTCCCCTAAATTTCCCCTAGCAGTCTCGGAAGATTATCCCCGAGACACCTTCCCTGGAGATTAATCTTCCCATCGCTCCTAATCTCCTTCTTCCACAGGATTCTCAACCAACTTTCATGCCAACTACCATAAATCCTGATGTACAAGATTTAAAAGGACTATCCTTCGCTACTATGGATGAAGCAATGATGGTCATTAGATCACAGGCAGCAAAAGATCACGTCAGCTGCAAAGTCTCCGACAGAAACAAAACCAGAGCCTACTTCAAGTGTTCATGCGACGATTGTTCTGCATATGCCCGCATATTGAAAATTCCACACTAAAACCGAACATAATCGTATCAGCCAGGTACAAGATCAGCATTCATGCCAAGGATCGCTTGGGAAATCTCGGGGATCCCAGCGTGAGCACGCATTCTTGGTAAAGCAGCTTCGCCAAGGCATGACAGTGAACAGTAAAGCTCCTATTAAGGACGTTCAGCAGTTTCTAGACCGAATACTTGGTGTCGACATTCTGTACACTACGGCTTACAAAGCAAAGGAAGCAGTGTGTGCTGAGAAAATCAACGCGCAACAAGAGCAGTACATTCTGGTGAAAGGCTATTTTCAATGTCTACTTCGTGAGGATCCCGAAACTATTGTGTAACTTAAAACAAAACAAGTCCCTACTAAATGGCATGGAAAAACAATTCCATAGTCTTTTCATCGCTCCGGGTGCAACGAGATACGCTTTTCAACACATTCGCTACTTTATGGCTGCTTATGGGACTTTGATCAAAACCTGCTTTGTCCAGATCCTTCTTTTGGCTGTGTCAATGGATGCTCAGGATGAACTGGTGATTTTAGGATAGGCGGTTGTTTCGGATGAATGTGAGGAGACGTGTTATTAGTTTTTAACTAGCTTGATGAAAGCGCATACTAGAATCAACGAACGTGGAAGTGTAGTGGTAAATGACCGTGAAAGAGGGCTAATAAACTCAGTGGCAAAAATCTTCCGAACGCTTTTAATGCTTTTCGTCGCTTTCACATTGCTGCAAACGTTCAGACTAAACATGGAATTGTCATCAAAAAGTATGTACTATCCCAGTCACGTTTTTGGGGAATGATGGAAAGTCATGATTGACACTGATCCGTATGTTTTTGCTTCATTAGACTCCTCTAGCGTCTACGCCAAAGACAAAGCTGATTTCGAAAAGCGCATCAATCAAATTCGTAATGCCAATCCTCTTGCTGCCGATGACATAACGCAAATCCCGCACAATCAATGGGCAACATACGCTTGCGACGTTCACCGTTTCGGACACGTCACTTCAAATTTAGCAACGATTGCAAACTCTTTTCTAACGCAGATGCGAGAATTACCGTTTCTTTAGATGCCGGACGATTTGTATCGCCACCAAATGTAAAATTTTCATCAACGGGCGCATTTCGCAATTGGTTGGGTTGCACCGTTGGTGCCGTTGGTGAAAACAATTTTGGTGAGGAGT